CATCGAAGGAGTAACCTGCAAAGCACTCATCGACAGCGGCAGCCAAGGGACCTACATCAGCCCGAGCCTAGTCAATAAGCTCAGAATCCCGTGGAGAGCCAAGGAAGAACCATACAGGATTCGCAACTTCGAAGGGGGGCCACTGGGGTACGACGACGGATGGATCAAGCGAGAAACCCAACCACTTCGGGTCCAATTCTCGAACCACAGCGAAGACATCAGTTTCGATATCTCTGAGATAGGAGGAGACGACCTCATACTTGGCAGCGGATGGCTGGCCAAAAGCAACCCACGGATAGACTGGGGTGCACGACAACTGTCATGGGATGACGGGATCAAAGGCATGATTATGCAGATCGCCTCAGCCCATATCGAAGAACTCAACAGTATGCTCAGCGAAGTACCGGCAGAATACCACGACTACGCAGACCTGTTCGACAAAGACAACGACCGCGGACTCCCCCCGCACTCCAAATGGGACCACGAAATACCCTTGAAACCTGGCACGGAGCCACAGTTCAAGGCCATCTACAAACTCAGCCCGGACGAACGAGTAACACTCAAGGAGTACCTCGCACGAATGCTCAAGAAAGGATGGATCCGAGAATCCACTTCGTCCGCCGGCTACCCAATTCTCTTTGTACCCAAGAAAAACGGAAAGAAACGACTCTGCGTTGACTACCGACAGCTCAACGAGATCACGCATAAAAACAGATATCCATTACCATTAATATCGGTCCTCAGGGATCAATTGTACGGCGCAAACTGGTTCACGGCACTCGACATGCCGGACGCCTACAACTTCATCAGGATCAAGGTTGGAGACGAATGGAAGACGGCGTTCCGTACGCCAGAAGGACACTTCGAGTACCTCGTCATGCCCTTCGGGCTCACCAACGCGCCCGCAAGTTTCCAGACCATGATGGACCAGATTCTCAAGGAATTCATCGGCGACTTCGTCGTAGTCTACCTTGACGATATCCTGATCTATTCGAAAACTCGGGAGGAACACTACGAACACGTACGCAAGGTACTGGACAAGTTCCGGGAGCACAACCTACTCATCAATCCCGAGAAGAGCGAATTCCACAAGCAGAAAATCGACTTCGTTGGCTACACAATCACACCCAACCAAGTACACATGCAGACAAGCAAGACGGACGCACTACGCAACTGGCCAGTGCCGACCACCGTCACAGGAATACGAAGTTTCCTAGGGTTCACGAACTACTATCGAGTATTCGTCAAAGGATACGGAGAAATCGCAAAGCCCTTGAACGACCTTACGAAGAAAAACGAACCCTTCGTATGGGGCGAAAAACAGCAAGAAGCGTTCCAAGGACTCATCAACATCATCCTAAGCCACCCAATCCTCCGCATCCCAGACCCCGAAGCACCCTTCGAACTAGAAACCGACGCATCGAAGTATGCGATGGGCGCGCAACTAGGACAACGAGACGAGGATGGAAGGATTCACCCCGTCGCGTTCATATCCAAAACCTTCACAGGACCAGAGAAGAACTACACCACGTTCGAACAAGAACTCATGGCAATAGTTTGGGCCTGCAGAGAATGGAGCGATTACATCAGGGGATCGCCCCATCAGATCATCGTTCACTCCGATCACAAGAACTTGACGTACTTCACCAAGGGAAATAACCTCAACGGAAGATTACTAAGGTGGTACGCAGACCTCTTACCATACGACCTAGTAATTAAGTACCGCAAGGGAACGGAGAACAACAGAGCCGACGCTCTCAGTCGATACCCAGAACACGAGCAGAAGACGGAGAACTTCCCGCTCTTACGGCAAGCAGAAGACGGCACCCTCCGGATCGCCGCCATCACTATCGACACATGGAACATCGAGCTACAGCAGAAGATTGTCGACGAAACCCTCAGATACTCCTCGGAGATCGTAAAGGAACATGGCAACGACTCTCGCTACAACCTCGATAGGATCGACAGAGGTGTCGTTAAATACCGAGGACTCAGGTGGATACCCGAGACGCTGCAACAGGAACTGGTCAAAGAAATCCACGAGCACCCGCTCCATGGACATCAAGGCATCTTCAAGACCCAGCAACGGGTCAAGAAGCAGTTCGACTTTGAGAAACTCAAGGCAGTGGTCACAGGGGTAATCCTCAAATGCGACCTCTGCGCAAGAAGCAAGGCCTCACGACGGAAGCCCTACGGCGAACTCCAGAGTATCGCACCACCTGATAGAGCCTGGAAGGTCATCTCGATGGACTTCATCACGAAGCTCCCACCTTCCCAGGACCCAGCAACGATGATCGCATACGACAGCATCCTAGTAGTCACTGACCGACTCACCAAGTATGCGCTGTTCATCCCGTTCCTTGAAACATACACAGCCAAGCAAACGGCGTGGATCTTCAAGAAGGAAGTTATCAGCAACTTCGGGATACCCGAGAAACTCATCACGGACAGAGATAAGCTCTTCACCTCCCACTTCTGGAAGGACTTGATGAGCCAGATCGGCATCCAGCACAGTATGTCTACGGCCTTCCACCCGCAGACAGACGGACAAACCGAGCGTATGAACCAGAACGTGGAACAATACCTCAGGTGCTACATTAAAGAAGATCAGACCGACTGGATCGAGCACCTCCCCACGGCTCAATACGCATACAACACCTCGACAAACGAAGATCTGGGAGTTAGCCCATTCTTCGCGAACAAAGGCTTTGATCCTAAGGAACCTACCGCACTACGCGATACGATGGTTCCCGAGGCCTTCATCGAGGCCCAGAAGCTTGTACACCTTCAAAAAGAACTGAAAGACTTGGTCATTCAGCGCCAACGGAAGCACAAGCAACTCTACGACAAGAAAAGGTCGAAGGGACCGACCTATAAGGAAGGGGACAAAGTCTATTTGCTACGCAAAAACATCAAAACGAAACGACCAAACAGCAAACTAGATTTCAAGAAACTTGGACCATTCCTCATCAAGAAAGTTTTGGGACCGCTTAATTGCGAACTCTCACTACCAAAGGGAATGAAAATCCACCCAATTTTCCACACCTCTCTCCTCGAACCAGCACACGCCGATACACCGCTCCAGAAGAACGTGGAAGTCGAACCGGACCAAGAGTACGAAGTCGAGAAAATCCTAGACGACAAAGTTAGCGACGGAACCCGATGGTACCTCATCAAATGGAAAGGGTACGACGACTCGGAAAACACTTGGGAACCCCGGAAGAACCTTACAAACTGCAAGGAACTCCTCCAGGAATGGGAAGATCGACCACGAAGCTTCCAAGAGCGACCTTGGAACTGGACACGACAGAAACATCAAGGACAAATGGCGGTCAAATCCTCGACCATCCAAAAAGACAAATCAAGGATATTAGACCATGCAGACGAAGGGGGCCAAAAATGGTACCTCGTCGAAAACAACGGCTGGAAAAAGCAGGAAGAACTCGCCCGAGCACAAGTCACCCAGTACTGGACTTGGCTGGCGGACGACCTGCGACAATGGGACGAAGCGATGGGAATGCCCACCCTTCAAAACGAACCAAACAACCAGCACCCGGCGTCCGAAGTCAAGAAGATACTCGACTATCGGGATAAAGGACACACGGAATACCGCGTGGAATGGGAACCGGAAACACACCAGGAAAATAGCTGGGAACCAGAAAACAGACTCACCCTCTGTAAGGAACAACTCATCCACTTCTGGCTGAAGACAAACTGGGACCCCCCGTACCGGGCACGAGCGGATCAGGAGCTGAAGGCACTTGGGTATGAATACCCCCGGGGTCCAACGAGGGACCCAGGAAAGAAAAATCCACCACCTGGGCCCCAACGGACTGGGCGTCAAGGATCAAGGAAGATTCATCCAACAACGTTCCATCGTAAGACTCCAGCGCCAGGGAATCGTCCTCGGACAAACGATCCGACCGCTTCTCGAGGAAGCGGCGCTGCTTGCGAAGACGAGAAAGACGAGCCAAGGACTCGGAAATCCGAGACTGAGCCTCGGCGTGAGCAGACAGAAGCTCCGCCTGACGACGAGCTAGCTCCCCTTGAAGGAGGACCAACTCATCCTCTGCCTTCTCCTCGGCGGCGCGAAGCTCCGCCTGTTTAGCGAGATTTTTCTCAAGCTGAAGACCGACAAAGAGGCCGTCGCACTTGATGCCGCGACGAACACACTCCAGACAGCGAGGACGCTTCGCGGCCATACGACAAGTACGACCATGCGAAGTGCACTCGGTGCACGGCATGACGTCGTAAGGAGAAGATGACCCGTGGTCCTGAATGAAGCGAGCCGTACGATGTCGAGAACGCACTGAAGCAGAAGAAGGGGGCAGCGTTGAGGCGTCAGCCGACATGATGGGCCATGAGGAAAGAAGGAAAGGATACCCACCAGCGAAAGCGGCTGAGGACAGCGCTTAAAGGGGAAGGGGGACAATGTGACGACCCGACCAACAGGGGACGGTTGTTTGGGCAAAGAAGAGCACAAACAACTAGGCCACAGGATCAGGCCAAGGACAAGGGCGGATCAGGTGGCAGTGCCGTCACAGGTCTCTTATGTAAGCATGTGCAAGGATCACGATAAGGATAAGGCACGGAGGATACCGGTCATGCATCACCTGCATGACCGTCACGAATGCCAAGACTGATGGTCACGAACAAACCACCATGACCGTCAGACGAGCACGGCATGACCACGATGAAGGACAAAGGATATATAGATGCGGAGGATCTCCTAGATACACAGTCACTACCTTTGTACTTCAGCGATCAATCTAAGTATCAGTTTCACCCACACTTGAACTAGTCACTCAATTGCCGAGACTGGTATCTCTTCCAAGAGACACGAACGACAACCCAGAGAGAGAACGACAGCAGAGTGTTAGTTGTTATTGTACAGGCTTTACCTATCTTGCAGAACAGCAACCCCAGCGCCCTGCCAGACGGTTGACCCCGGAGGCAGGATCGTGACACCTGAGTTTACCTGCTAAATACTTAGTGAGGACAGGTCACGCCGGAGCTGACCGTACGGACTCGTCATCGACAAAAGAGCGGGGCCGTGTACTGTCAGGTAGATCCCGGAAGGATCTCAGCGGTCTAGCATCATCGGACCTCTTAGATGGGGACTGTCGAGCTTCTTATCTACAGAGTACGCGAAATTTCAAATAGGCCGCCGATCCGAAGCGCGGCGTGGGAATGCGAAAGACGTGTTCAGTACGAGAACGAGGCCCTAATGCTCCAGTATTGGGGCTTACTCGGAGGACGAGAACTAGCCGTATACGACACGCAAAGGCGGATTTTCCGGGTCCTCCGTTACAACTATCTCACACTGCAGTACTTGGTGCAGTGGGTAGGCCACGCTATGGACGATGCTGTATAGGTGTCGCAGGCAGAGATGCTCAAATGCACCAGCTGGCCGTCACTACAGACCCAGACATACCCAACTACAGAGCATATAGCTACGAAGGGGTACTAGTACAGGCACCGCAGTCGCTCAGTCATTCTTTTGGAAGGAAAGAACTTCGCCTTCGTATATCTACTAGTATCACTAACACTAGCGCTAGCACTGCTCATGTTAGCCCAGCCGCTAGTCTCAACTCAGATGTCACGATCCGATCTCCGGGGTCAACCGTCTGATCGGGCGCTGGGGGTTTATGTTCTGAATAAGGCAGGTAGCGGCCTCAAGCAATACTGACTCCGTGCTGTCGTGTCTCGTGGTGGTTGTCGTTCGTGTCTCTTGCGAGATATCACACTTGGATCAATTGAGTGACTAGGTCAAGTGGAGGGTAAGAGTGATACTTAGATTGATCGCTGAAGTACAAAGGTAATGACTGTCTACAAGGAAATCCTTCTGGCTCTATATATCCTTTGTCCTTCATCGTGAACTGTGTTGCCGTGCCTTGGAACTGTCAGTTCTACCGGCGCACTGCGCAGTTCCTACTGGGACTGCGCAGTTCCATAGTTCTTGGCACAGTTCCACGGTCTTGGCGTGGTCCCGTCCTGGATGACTCATCATGGTGGCTTAGGTAATGTTTCTTGGACCCGCGTGCATGACCTGCCCTTGTCCCTGGCCCGATCCTGCGACCTGTTGGTCGGGTCGTCACATCAGAGTCATTCACGTCCACAAGGTGTTAGACACAACACGCCAGGCACGTTATACGCTCCACGATGTACTTTGCACAGCGTGATAGTAAACCAGGGCGGAGCGGCACCTAATCCTTGTAGGTACTCCACCGCTGGGACTACACACTATGCACTACACAATATGCTCGGGGCGTCGGTTAGTGCCTGCCACGATATATGCAGTACACTAAGCTCCACACATCGTGGAGCTCATCGCACGAAACCTAGATCACGGCAGATACGCTATGCTAGGCTAGCCCTGGTTCTCGCTATCTAGGAGCCTCTTCGCACTTGATACTACTAAACCGAGGTTGTGGGGCCGGCGTCGCCTACTCTTGCAAGATCTCGAGAGGTCCAGAATCTAGCAGGCACTTATAAGAGCCTATAGTGCTAACTCGAAGATCTGCAGCGACAGCACCTCTAGACTCTTCTCGCTTATCTTAGAGAAGTTTTTACTAGAGAGAGCGCTAAGTCAGTCTGAAGGAAATCCCCGGGGACATGCCGCACTTACACGGCGGCCTCTATCGGTCCCTCTACGTAGACCATAAGGAAGAACACGGACGGTTTTACGAGTCGGCGCCAGCGACGCGCGATACGCTTAGTCTCCAAGACGACCGACCTACTTATCTGGAATGCAGATATGCAGAGATCAATTGCTATACTAGCGTTGTGCCGAGTAGTGCTTATGCCGTTCCGCCTATATAATTTGTCCTTCCTTCTATCAGCCTTAACAATATCCTCAATCGTATCGAAGAGGTCGAGCAAGCGAATGTACGCCATACGGGCCACGATGAAAGAGGGGGGGGGTATGAATGAGACGGTACAGCGAGCGGAGAGCATCTAGAATAGAAGGGTCGGAACTGCGGATATTAGCTGGCAGCATCGTACACTCCACAAGCTGGTTCCATTGTTGCGATACTTCTGTACAGTTAGCCAAAATATGCTAAGCGAAATCTTCTCGTACCAGGCTCGCCGCCAGTTCCTAGCCCTGAGGATCTTCATGATTCGTAGTGGTAGCAGCCATTACAACCGCGCAGGTGTCACAGCTGCTATTCTCTAATCCAGGTTAACGTGTCTGCTGCTTTATATATTTGTGTTTAGGTGCTCTTATATTTGCAGAGAGCCTTGAGATTATTTTCAGCAGCTAAATTCAACTTGGGCTCTGTTTCTCCGCCCATTTCAGTCTTTTTTCGAGCGTTGCGAGGTCCAAATCGACCCGCCTAGCTATTTTCCGAACGTATGCATAGGCTGAAATAAGGGCCGTACAGTAGAGTAGCTACGGGGCGCCCAGGGCAGTAGTCGTCGAAAGAGCTTTAGAGTCAGCATCGAAGCTGCAGAGTATATAGTACGATACTTATCGCTTGCAAATCTCCGTCCCATCTTACACAGCCCCTGATTCTAGAAGTGCCGAGTACATTCTTTACAACGATAACCACTTACAAACTACAGCGAGCTAGCACTTCGTGTACTTGTGCTTTTACGTCTCGAAAGCTCCACACTGAAGGAATTCGAGAGACTAACAACCTGATCGAGGTCTACCGCCAGCGTACTGCTACTTCACAGCAGGCAGTAAAAGAGGCCTGGCAAATGGTCAGCGACTTGGCAAATTCAGTTACCGTATTGACCAGCAAGATAGGGGCTATGGACGACTCGATTAGACAAATGGAAAGGGTCTTACAAGCAGGCCTGCCATATCTAGACGGTCATTCAAAGCGTGGCTGAGATAATTTCCGAGATATATCACGTACACGAAGAGGCTTACATTATCGAAAGAGTCGTTAGGACATTAGAATAGTGAAGCTCTCCGTGAAAATACAAACCTTACATGTTCACCTTTACTATAAACAAATTTTGATTTGCCATTATGTGAATACATCGAGCACTGCTCATAGATTGGCTTGTTGCTGTTGAAGATAAGACTAGTTAATGATTAACAATACTCACAGACGGTCAGCATTACAGTAGTGACCACTAGATGTGTCCGCTTTTCTAGTATCAAAGAACGATTCCGCACGAACCAGTGCCCGGTTTCGCACTGTAGCACGTGCTGTGCATACAACCCCCACAGCAAGTGCCCTCAAAGTGGATTACACCATGACATGCAGCAGTTGGCACAAACGGAGGGCCGTTTCTTCGTGGCCCTGCCGTGGTAACCATCGCGAATCGTCGGAATATCTTCGCCATGCCCGTCGCAGGATGACGGCACAGTATAACGCGATCCACACAACGCAGAACTTCAAAGGCCAGTTTGTGCCTATTGATGCGGGATAATTTTGTCGCGAATGTCTATTCTGCACACACACACAAACAACTCCCACTCTGGCGCACAGCTCGCACAGAGGTTGCGCCATATAGGCGTGAAGCACCAAAATGCAACAAGAGAACGTCTGGTCGGTGATGATGATGGTCAGCTTCACTGTGCGAAGCATGGTGCGCATGCACAGATGGACGGAGTACTTGCCTGTATGCATGCATCAGGTCAAATTTCAGCGCCACCACCGGACCCAAACCTTCACGATTTAAGAGAGGTACTTACGATTGACTTTTCGGCGTTCACGATGTGAAGCCGCCTCCGGAGCTCCGGAGACCCGGAACTGGAGGTTTACCGGGCACCGGCATTTTTATATGGCTTGACAGCAGGTGAAGGGTCCAATCGTTGCGGACGATGCCGACGACTTCGACTGGCACCATATAAAGTGAGTCAGGCATTACCGCGACCGAAACGGTGCGCCTCGCGAACGAAACCATCCCTGATATGACCGGGGTTCAGCCATGAACGCAACCGGCAAGGGATCATGATCGACCAGAGGCTGTCATCAGACATGCTGTAGATCAGCAAGTGGTGGCCTGGAGACATGAGGCTCGATCGTCCTGGTGGGAATGGCCAACTGCGAAGTGTCATCACATATTCTGACCTGGCGGCTTCGTGCAGGATCCCGTTGAGAAATAGATTGTGGGAGAACTTGCTGATGCCATGGTAATCCGAATGGGCCGGATCCAATGGGCAGAAGAGGATGATATCGGCGGCTGGCGAGATCTGCATCAGGGCTGGATTCGTGTCAGCCATAACCCATTGCGTGCCATGAGCATCTGCGGCATTGGTTCCCATCGCTCTCTCGGCGTTCTGCATCTATCTGCGAAATGAATGCTGACTAATGACTCCGGAATAAAAATTTCCCGTTCGTAGCTGAGCATTGTGGCTGGGGGGCTGGGCGGAGGCTCCCACGCAACCGAAATGCGACGAAACGCGACTTCATTTCGGTCTTTCTCCCTCTCCCACCTCGAGAGCATCCCATCCGCCATGGACGATCTACCGCGGTCAAAGATCATCAATAACAATCCTATCGGAAAGGGCCTTGATGCCTTCTATGGTTCGTTCAATTCGGTCTGCGAAGACAGGAAGATCCCATGCACTCCGGACGCGCTAGGTCAACTTGACCAAGATGGTATAGCAATCCAGCTTCGTTACAGTGTGCTCCTCTGATCGACATGCAGAACTCCGGAAACTTATTCGTGCCTTTCTAAGAGCGGTGCAAAACCTTCCCGCTGCTGACCTGCTACCTGCCAGGACGGGTCGCGGCAGCCTTCGAGACGACCTTCTGCGGCTTGAACTCTCGCTCCGCTCCGACGACTTCGACTTCGACCGTATCAAACCTCTCCTCAAGTCAGCTATCGCCGATAATCCAGACGATGCCCACATCTAGGATCAAGTCTACAAGGCCGTCACAAAATCCACCCCACCTCCCCGACCGATCGCCTCTTCCCTCCAACAAACCCCATAGCTGCACAATACCAGCAGCTTCGCGAACTCCTCCGAATACCGCAAGGATATAGACAGATTCCTCAGGGATGAACTCGGCGCTATGTACGTCGGGCTTCCTCGATTCCACGAGACCTTTTTCGGACGGGTGGCAGGTCTCGAAGCAGCGTCCGAGGCCGTCTTCAAGAAGTGCATGGAAGGCAGCGAACCACTCTTCAGTAATAGGTGGAGCGGATGGCCGACAGATGCAAATCAGGACGATGTCTTAAGCTGGTTTGCGGAATTGAACGAGAAACTAGCGACATTTGCAGGAGAGTACAAGTCGACTCCGACACATCGACGAAGGCCACTAGCACAACCCAACAAGCCGATCCAGGGTTCCACGGCAGAACGCAAGTTAGACGTCGGCTTCGTAAACGACCCCAAGGCTGGAAAAGACTCTCGATGTCACTGGTCGCATATCCTCGTACCGGGCGAGCTGAAGAGCAATCCATCGGCCGACAAAGCGGCAAAGGCATAGCTTAATCTTAGGACGTACGCGAGAGAAGTGCTCGCTACTCAAGACACCCGTCGCTTCGTCTTAGGCTTTACCATCTGCGGATCACTCATGAGGATATAGGAGTTTGACCGGCTAGGAGCGATCGCATCCGAGCAGTTCAACATCAACGAGGATGGACTGCAGTTCGTATTCACGATCCTCGGGTTTCTCTAGATAAGCGAGGAGGAGCTTAGCTTCGATCCGACAATTATAACGGCGAGTAACAAGCGATTCATCAAGATCGAGCGGGATGGTTCAACAAAGCGCCTCATCATTAACGAGTTGATGCAACGCGCACGTTACATCGCTAGCCGGGCCACGACTTGCTGGAAAGCCCATCTTAAAGGACACGCACAGACACCGCTTGTCATCAAAGACTTATAGCAATACCCCGAACGCGATAAGGAGGGCGAATTGTTACGCGAGGCAACTGGTCAAGGCGTTGTCAACGTGGCCCGATACTACCACCACGAGACTGTTCAAGTACACGGCACGGATGACGACATTCGAAGCAACGTTCGCGGAGGACTAGATGTCACCACAGCTACGAACTACCGGCCGGAACGCTCGATGCCGCCGCCGAGTATAATCGCGTCTAGGGCTTCACGGAGAGGTCGCAGCAGCAGCCGCGCTACTAGCAAGAAGCGATCATCCAGTCAAATTGGCGCCCCTCTGCCCCCCAGCAAGCGATCCTGTTCGGCATCTCCAACGAAGGCTGGCGGCGATGCACTGCCGAATCGCGTACATCGGCGTGTCATTCTTCGTAACTATGGAAAGCCCATCTACAAGGCGAGCTCCCGATCGGCTCTCCTTATCGCGATGGAGGGCTGCATTGAAGGACATGAATCCTTACGCAAGGCTAGCTTCCTCCACAGAGACATCTCAATCAACAATCTCATAGTCAATGAGGACGACAACAATCCCTCCTAGCCTTCGTTCTTAATTGACCTTGACCTCACTGTTAGAGAGCAACGAGAGGGCGCCTCTAGAGCAAAGGGCAAGACCGGCACGAGGGCATTTATGGCAATCGGGGCCCTTCTAGGCGAGCAGCATTGTTTCATACATGACCTCGAGTCATTCTTCTAGGTGCTCTTCTAGTTATGCATCCACTACGACGCGCAGGGCAAAGATATCGGACCAACTAAGTTTAACAGCTGGAATTACGAGAGTGATAACAAGCTAGTTCGATCGAAAGTCGGTACGATAGGCGATAAGAGTATTTTTCTCAAGATCGCGGAAGAGAACTTCACATCGTACTACCAGCCATTGATCCCGTCGGTCAATAGACTACGGAGGAAGGTATTTCCAAACGGTGAGAGGTGGAAGAGGCTGGAGCCGGAGCTCTATTCCTCGATGAAGAAGATCCTTCGCGACGCCCAGAAGGACCCGGACGTGTTGGCGGATGGTGGGTAGACAGCATTGTCATAGGCTATACCAGTGTTTTATATTCGCCCGTGAGAATGCATGTGGTTTCTTACATGCCCACAACTGTGACCCCATGCCATGGAAGCGACTGCTGGAGCAGTTCGACAACTACCGGCGTATGTGGGAGGAACGACGGGACTACAAGTGGCTCAAGGATTTGGCGTCAGAACGCTGGACCCGTCGCCTCTAGGAGGACGAGATCATCACCTTCCACAAGGCCATGGATCGACTTCGAGGACTCCTCCGCACAGTCCAGCACAGTGCATGTGACATCACCGGCTCCCAATAGGCGCACGGGTACCCGTGCGTATAATATTACACGGGTACCCGTGCAGATTCTGCTTACAGCTTAGCGTGTCTTAATTCCCGCCGACATCGCAATCCTGGATCCATATCCGGGGTGCACCCATATCAGCAGAAAAGGTCTGTCTTGACCTTCGCTGGTGATCTCAGGTGCTGTCAGCATACAATACTTTACGCGCTACAAAGCGCGCTGAGGTGCTTTCGTGTATTTCTTTTATTACCATTACTAGCCTCAGATTTGTCTCCCGATGGCAGCTACTAGTAGTACCCACTATTCATTTCCCGATGACAGTCTCCCTCCGGAAGGCACCTACGAGTCCCGAGATACCTTATTTAAAGCTATCAACGAGTGGGCGTACACAAGAGGCTACGCCTTTGTTACGAAAAGGTCAACAAAGGAAAAGACAGGCAGGCTCTCAGTCGTATATGCATGTGATCGATCATGTCGCGACTACGCCTCTGGAAGACCGCGCCAGCGAAAAACATCTACGCGAAGTACCAACTGTCCGTTCTCTGTACTAGCAAAAGAGTCACGAGACAGCGGCACATGGACAATACGACACCGACCCGACCCGCAGTTTGCCCAACACAACCACGAGCCAAGTTTACACCCATCCGCCCATCCTAAGCATCGCGCACTCGATACGGAAACGATCACTCGTCTATCTAGCCTCGCAAATGCTGGCGTCGCACCTAAGGAGATTCGAACGTACATACACCAAAACACGAGTTCGATTGCAACGCAGCAAGATATCTACAACCGAATCGCGGACAGTAGGCGCGAGATGTACGAAGGGCAGAGCACGATCAATGCCCTAGCTAACCGGCTTGACCATGAAGGTTTCTGGAGCCGTTTACAACTTGATTCGGAGAACCGCGTAAAGGCTGTGCTTTTCGCCCATCCAGAGTCGCTAAGCTATCTTCAAGCTTATCCGGATGTTTTAATCCTCGACTGTACCTACAAAACGAACAAATACGGAATGCCGCTCCTAGATATAATCGGAGTAGACGCTTCTCAACGATCCTTCTGTATCGCATTCGCATTTCTTAGTGGAGAAAGCGAGGAAGATTTCGTTTGGGCTCTAGAGCGCCTCCGGTCACTCTACGAAATTAGCAAATCCCGCCTACCTTCAGTTATTCTTACCGATCGATGTCTTGCTTGTATCAACGCAATCGCAGTATGCTTTCCTTCTGCTGCTTCATTGCTATGCCTTTGGCATGCGAACAAAGCCGTCCTTCGATACTGTCAGCCTTCATTCGCTATCCAGCTACAACTCCAGGACTCCGAAGCCGACAAATCTGCGAGACTGAAAGAGTGGCATGACTTTTACCAGCACTGGCACCAAATTATTCGTTCTCCCACCGAGGCAATATTCGACATCCGTATGTCGACATTTGAACAACGCTATATTACAACGCATGTACGGGACGTGGCCTACATTAAAGAGACATGGCTTGACCTGTATAAGGAAAAGCTTGTAAAGGCCTGGGTTGACAGCTACCCTCATTTCGGTAATGTTGTTACTTCGCGCGTCGAAGGTGTCCATGCGCTTCTTAAAAGTCATCTGAAAACGTCGACACTCGATTTGTTTGAGGCCTGGAGGGCTATTAAGCATGCGCTAATAAACCAACTTGGGGAGCTGAGGTCCAACCAGGCAAAACAGCAGATTCGGTCTCCGATCGAACTTTCCGGTCCACTTTATGGTGTAGTACGGGGTTGGGTATCACACGAGGCTCTTCGAAAGGTTGAAGAGCAGCGGAAGCTTCTCCAGACGAGCAGTCCGCTACAACGCTGTACAGGCATATTCTCTCGGTCGCAAGGCCTACCATGCGTTCACAAACTTGAGGCTTTGTTGTCCGAAGGAAAAGCCCTTTGCCTAGGAGACTTCCATTCGCATTGGCACCTAATCCGGAGCGGCGCGAAACCTTTTCTCCAAGAGCCTCGCCAACGTATTGATATGACTAGTACCAACACTTCTTTACCGCGATCAAGTAACCGAAGGGAGCCTAGCGGCTTTGAAGCTGTTGAAGTCGCGGCTAAGCGAAAGGGACCTTCAACCTGTACTAGATGTCACCGTCTAGGTCATTCAAGGACGTCTCGATTATGCCCCCTAAAGTACGCAGAGCTACAACTTCGAGTAGAGGCGGCATCGCAACAGCTACGAATAACACCAGAGCCGCCGGCCGACACGTCGATACCTGAAGCTACGATTGAATTATCGACGTGCAGACCTCAACATGAGTCGCCAATTCCCGAACTTCTTAATAACTCGTCGGCCCAAGAAGGGATTACGGAACAGATCTTAGAAGAGATCGAAGCTCGGCTCTCAGAAAACGACCAGCCCTTACGACGAGCTAAAGAACCCGTCTCAGAGTACGCCGAAGAACACCAGCAAGCTCCGGAGCAGCCTTTAAAATACAGTGACCCAAAAGCGATTTACCAAAGATACGTCGCTACGCGAGAGATCTGGAAGAAGTCCCTACTCCCGGGTACCTATGCGAGCAACCAGATGTACCGGCAGGCAATGGGTTTACCATTACGGTATAGTAAAGCGCAGTACGATTGGTGCTTAGACCATAAGCAAATGACGAGGCGTTGCTTAACGCGAGAGGGTGAACGGGCCTGGACAAGGGAAGAAATGATGGCATATTTGGACTGGGATCGGTCTGAGACGGAGCGAATCGATGTTCAGGTTGCCCAGGAGTCGACAAGCGGTCTAGCTAATCGAAGAGGTATGGGTGATGTGTGGAGGAGGGCGGCACAGGACTGTGAGGAGCAGCAAGTTCTTCACCGGGATGATGATGAGTGTATTATAGTTAAAGGTTAAGTCAAATACGTTATACGTGTAAGGCAACGCACATACTGTGATCGGAGGTCAAACAGCACCTGAGGTCACTAGCGAAGGTCAAGACAGACCTTTTCTGCTGATATGGGTGCACCCCGGATATGGATCCAGGATTGCGATGTCGGCGGGAATTAAGACACGCTAAGCTGTAAGCAGAATCTGCACGGGTACCCGTGTAATATTATACGCACGGGTACCCGTGCGCCTATTGGGAGCCGACATCACCGCCTTGCTTACCTAAGCAAATGAGAAGCCTAACCGCTTGGTGGCGGTCCTGCGGTCGGGACCGCACCAAGATGCGGGCCGACCCTCGAGAGGCCGTTTCGGGCGTATGACTAGGGTACTGCCCTTCCCGAGGATCTATTCCCCTATTCTCTCTTCTGAACTAGACTTCGCGCATTCCTTCTATCACCAGAATCATTCATGCGCTACGACTTGGTCCTCAAGTAGTCCGTTGTGGGCCCGTGCGACACCTTTGGGCGAAGGGATAGCAAAACCAACTTCCCTTTCCCTCCCGGGAAAGTTCTGCGTCTTGAGCAAGTCTGCAATCTCGGCGCCTTGCAAGCTTGAATTGAGAACCTATAGTTTAAGTGTGATCTATCCTGACATGGGAGATGCATGGATCAGCGAGGAATGCTTTGCCGATCTGGTTGCGAAAGCTAATACACATCGCTTCTCGAACACTGGTGGGTCGGCATCGTTTCGTTTCGGCTGTCTATTAAAGAACACACTTCGCAAGACCATATACAGCAAGTTACGCTTCCATGCAGAAGCTCCTAACAATATCCACCAACCGCCGTCTCGTCCTCTTACTATCAAACACCTGTCCATGATGAAAGTCCGGAAACCACAACACATCCAAGCCATCGCCCTTCCACTCTCCATCTTTCCAGCCTTCATCCCCCCAGCCCTCACTCGACAGAATCCAGTCATCTCCGCCTGTCATATACGCCCTGACGACCTTTGTGTTAACGATCAGGTCGTTGCCGCCAAGGGCCACAGCCACGCGATGGCCCTGCATATCTTCCTTCCACAAGATATTGTCGGCCCAGAAGAAGCGTCGAAAGAGGGTATGAGCAACGCCTATATCCTTGGAGCCGAAGTACCAGAGCAGGTATTCATTGGCACTGGTTGGCTTCCGGCAGATCTGCGTTAAGAGGTTAGCTGAGATGATGAGTAGGGAGACGGGGAAGACGTCACAAAATTGTACGCGACATCGGGGAGATGCAGTAGAAAGGCCACCGGGTCAATGAATAACATCGGTCCGATCTTTGGCGCGATCTTCGGCGTATGAAGGAGATGCGCAGCCACAACGCTTCCATAGCTTGGTGGATAACCTCAGTGGTTACCAATCACCATGAACAGGGAGCGCGGGGGGGATACTCACGAATGTGCCACCAGCACGAACTTTTTCCACCCATGCGCGTTCAATATGCAATGCACCTCATCGCCCATCTTTTCTTGCGACATTGCCTCTCCGGTTATGCGGGAGCTCACAGGCATGATCTCCAAAGCGATGATCCCCACCTGTCCGTCGGACGAATCGTCACCGTCGTTGGCATTTAATTCGGCCAGGAAGTCTATGTATTGGTAGAGCCCAACACCGATACCGTGGATAAACAGGACCGGGAGTCTTGTCTTCGAGGTGTGTAGCCGGTGCCAGTAAGTCAGACTCTGTGCAGGGGAGGAATGGGTGCTGAAGAGTGTGAGGGGGCGTAAGGGGAAGACGGTAAGAAACGACGTGTGGTGGAAGTCGAAGGAGTGGTAGTGCAGATAGCCGGAAGCCAGTGTGTCGACAATAAACACGCACTATAGGATAGGGTAAATTAGTAGCTGGTTTGGTCGCAGAGGGGCAATTCCAAGCGCATTTCCTCGTCGTCACTTAATTACCAGATACCATGTCAAGCTCCGGTGTAACATCTCGACCTTGTCGAGGGTCAATCTCAGACACTTTGCGTTACCGCGCCCGGGCTCGAACTTCCTCCCCAGCATCTTCTCCATCTCGCCGGCATACTCCTCCAGCTCCTCGTCGTATTCCCAGTCGGGGTCTCCCGTATTCAAGAAGGCCCATCGGAAGAAGTCCTTGACGTTCTCCCTCTTGATCTCAGCCGCCGGCGCATTCCGGAACCATTTCGTCAGGTAGCGTTCCGGATCTGGAATGTTGTCGTGGCAGCGCCGGAACAATTTGCGGCGATCGCTACGGCAGACGGCCGTGGGATATGTCGTGGTCCTCTGGAGGTGGAGGCTGAGCGGAAGGTAGACGGCAAGGTAGAAGACGGCCTCGAGTGCGAGCCAGATCTCTAGCATTCGGGGACGTGAAACAGGGGATAGACGAGCCATCTGGCCAGTGAATAGAAAATGCTCAGGGGCGCGATCAGGTGCAGGAGGAAGATGCTTGTCCGGATGAAAACGTAGTCCCAGAGAGATGTTAATGCCATGGCGAATGGCTGACAATGCCGTCGAGGAGCATCTCGAGTAGCGCGGAGGGAGTAATATTTAAGAGCCTGTTTATCAGCCGACGGCCAAGTCAATGAGCTGCAGATGCGTGCCTTTTCGTGAATCGACAAGAGCCCGATGGTGGCCCCATCTTCCGGCGCAATGAACGTGAGCGCCGGGGCATCCACCTGGAAACGCGCAGATGGGCGATAATTTGACATGTGAACGGCCAAAATGCAAAATGATGACGCGTCGAGAAACGGGACTGACTGCGTAAAGGCCGCCAGAAACCTAAAGATGGCAAGCAATGACGGCTGCCTCGGCATTCAGAGGATCGATTGACCCCGTCGTAACTAGCATATGTTGGGAGTGGGGCTCCTTTTGTTGAGTTTGCTACGTAGGAAGCGGACTTCCACTGTATTGGACTATGTAGAACAGTGGCCGTGGGGACAGGCATGGTGTAAGCGCCAAGAGCCCAAAAACGGGTCCCTAAACAACTAAGCAGTGAATGAAAAGCGGAAGGCGATTTTGCTAGAGACTGTAGGAAGCTCTAGATACAAAAGATGAAAAGGCGAGAATGGATGTCGCGAGAGCGACCCTGCACGCGGTATGTCGCGTGAGTTATCTGCGAGGCAGCAGTCTAGATCCGTGACGTTAAGCATGCTGCAAAATGGCCCGAGTTTTGGGTCAAGGGGTCCTGGACTGGTCCTTTAATGATAGCGCACCGGTCCATGAGCACTTGCTCGGCGCACATGATAGGTGGGCCCTGTTCTGGGCCACCCCGAAATGATAAAAGGCTATGTTCTGGACTGCACCGAGGTCGATGGGCAGAGACCGAGGAAGTCCAAGCGAAAGAACTCGAAATCTGCTCAAGGGCACTGTGGCCGGGACCTCCTGACACGTGGAGTAGTATGGCCAATCTGGCGTCGACGTACCGGAATCAAGGCCGATGGGCAGAGGCCGAGTCGTTGGACTTACAAGTTATGGAGATAAAGAAAAAGGGTACCGGGGCCGGAGCATCCCGACACGCTGACCAGCATGGCTGAGCTAGCGTTGACGTATCAGAATTAAGGCCGATGGGCAGAGGCTGAAAATTTGCAAGCAAAAGCACTTGAGATCCGCTTGAGAGTGCTGGGGCCGGAACACCCTGACACGCTGACCGGCATTAACAATCTTGCTTGTACTTGGAAAGGCCAAGGTCGTCATGATGACGCATTGGACTTGATGCGCCGTTGCGTCCAGCTCAACGAGCAAGTACTTGGCCCACATCACCCTCATACGATGTCCAGTCTTTGTGAACTAGATATATGGCAAAAAATCGACCATTCATTGCGGCAGCACAGCTAGTTTCGATGACGAACTTTCCATCCAAAACGCAGGTGGAATGACAGGGACAGAGGTACGCTGTCAGACTCATCAGACCAAACTGCAACCACAGCCTACTACATCCAGCGAACCACCTACACTTCCTAATACACCACAGGATACTGGACTTCATAATGGTACTCAATACGCACGAAAGTTTGCTGGCCCATTTAAAGGAATGCTGGTTGACAGCGGTACTTTCATTAATGTTGGCGGGAAGGAATGCATTGAGTTTCGCGTTCTGTACGAGATTATTTAGTAGTTGCAAACGATGTTTCGTCCACCAAATCTAACCCAATTAATGTTAACTGGCTTAGCGGACTGCAAAGGTCCCGGTACAAGACTTGTGCGGTCTCCGGTGTTGGGCCTAGAATCACTGTCCCCGCGACCCTTGTGGGGAACCTCCGGTGAGCAACCTCTTGCAAGGCCCCACCAAATGCAACAGGGGACCGGTTCGCATAATCGCAAATTCCGGTCGTAGCTGCCCTAATCTGCTGAAAGGGCCATTGGCTTTTCGCTGGGGCCCCAGTGACCCCGGGTTCAGCCCGAATGGAGGAACGTTGTACTGTATTCTCTGGTGGTGTGGAAGAGTGGCCAGCCAGTCGACGAGCCCATTCATGTGGTGGGAATGGCCGTGTCCTTGTTCAAAAACCGTGGGAGGCCTTCCAAACGCCGGAAACGGTTCCCTTCTCAAAATAGCTACAATACGTTGATATGGCGATGCGAGCAAGAAGTAGCCGTCACAGAGACTTTCAAGTCGCTGCGATTTTGCACTCCAAGAGTCGGAACATCACGTCCTTGTCGGCGTTCGGACGCTCGATTTTCTTGTCTACACGGCTAGCCCGGATGAGTGCCTGATCTAGATGGTCCAAGTCATCCGTCGTCATTATGAGCAGCCGACCCTCATGTGACGATACGCCATCGAGAGCGTTGAGAAGCTCCGATAGCGACAGCTTCCCTTGAGATCGGGGCCGGTCCCGGGCGGCATCTTCCTTGGCTTGGCTGATGTCCGTTTCGCTTTGCCGAGGCTGCGCTAGACCAACAGCGTCCACGTCTTCCAGCAGGAGGACACAACGAGGCGGGAGTTCCGCAAGCAGAGAGCTTAGGGAGTGGCTTCCGACGGCAGAGATGTTGAGGATGTAGACGTCCAAGTCAAAGCGCCCCGCCAAAGACAAGCACAAACTGGACTTCCCGGTCCCAGGCGGCCCGTAAAGCAAGTATCCCTTTCGGTAAGGGATGCCACGGCTGAGATGCCATGCGGGAGCTTCCTGATGCAAGAAGCCTTCGATGTCCTGTATGAGTGCCGCCTTCACCTCCTCATTCATGACAACAGTGGAGATTGGCCTGATGCTTTTCACGTGCGTCCTTTTCCGCTTGCCATCATAGTGTTCGAAGATAGTGGTCTTGTTCTTGGTCAGCTTCAGGACTGCTGGGGATCCAAAGCACGAGACCGTGACCACCTCCTCCATATGAAAGCCGAGGTCTTTCTCCACAGAGCGAAACCAGAACAAATACTTGTTGTAGACGAAGTAGGACATTCCCTTCCAAGGAGAGTAGTGCAGAGGCTTCTTCTGCGTCCTGTTCTCATCGCCGAATGACCGTCTCCAGCCGACTCGGACGAGAGACGACCGTGCCCTGTGAGCGAATGGCTGAGAGGTCAACCAGAGACCAACCATGTCGTACGCTTCACTGGAATATTGGACGTGGACCGTCGAAGCTGCTAACTGTTAGAAGATGTCTTCAAGCCGGCAAGGGGACGAACCAAAGTGAGTCTCCGCCACGCCCCAGACATATCTGCAAACATGTCTGCATCACCAGAAGAACTGGTGTTAGGCTTTGGCGCACGTTTAGAGGCCACAAGGCTTTTTGAGGAGCGCCAAAGACCTGAGGAAGCTTGCCGCAGCTTGCAAGCGGCACACTGCTTCGTCCATGAGGAGCTAGTTTCTCACACTCTAGCTGCGTTCGCTTGTCTACAGGGCGATATATACACTCTATAGCCAGTAGTCTGGACAAGACAAGTCAAAATCACTAAGGTCCTCACAAACTCATCCTACCGTGACCACTCTTCTGATGGGGTCGTTCCTATCATTTCAGCAAGTCTTTCCCAGCGGTCGCAGGTGTCTTGCCAAGGGTGGGCGTACTGTCTGCGAACGACGCTCCGCAGCGGCCCCTGAAGGATACCCGCCGGTTCGGAAGCTGGGTTGTTTGGCTTGAAGGAAGAGCAGATGACTCGGTATGGGCTACGCATATTGAACCGTCGAGGAGGAAAGCTTCGCGCGAACGGCTTGCCGTTGTCGGAACAGTTGAGCCGAAACCAGTCCTCGGTGTGCTCGATAGAGGCTGCTCACGCTCGCTGTCTACAGCTCTGCCCTGGCCATTGCATCCACTGGTTTCTGCAGCTCCCTTTGGCTCATAGTATCGATGAGTTACAGCCACCTTAAGGATGCCGCCCACTTCTCCGTATCGCTCACCCTCCCACCTATGGTAGGTGCCTTTGGGAGGTTATGGCACGGGTGACTGTCCCCCAGCCAGTAGACATCTTGAGAGAGGACTTGGATTGATGCATCATCCGGCTCACGGCGCCACACGTGTCATACCTAATGTCTAATAGGTTGGATTGAAAAGTGCCAAGGTGGTATTCGTGCCACACCAGCGCTTCAGAACGCAAGAGTATTGGCTAGCCTCCTGAAACCCCTGCGGCCGAGAAACGGTTGCAAAGACCTGCGCCCCGACGTTAGCAATGATTTTCCGTTAACAGACCGTTACACATGGTTCGAGCTGCATCATTTCCAAGCTGCGAAAAGCCCTGCAATCGACTACCCCGAACCACGACGAGGACGTTTAGCCAAGAGCTCATCGCCCCGCAGATTGTCGAGTTCTACTCAAAGGAAGGGATCTTCTTAGGCGATAAGAGGTCACTGGAGGTTGTCATACGCGACGTGACAGGCATTCCTACCAGGGCTTTACGAGATACACCATTATCCGACTTTACGACTTCTGAACGCGAGGCGTGGATACGCAACCGGGAAACAAAGTATGAGGAAGACATGGTATACTCGCTGCTTGGGATATTTGGCGTTTACATGCAACTCATCTATGGCGAGGGTCGCGAACAAGCACGGAGAAGATTGCGAGAGGAGGTCCAGAAATCTGTGAAAGGTAAGACGCCGCTTGGCAACAGAGGATTCATGTTTACTAACACACTTAGGCACTCACTACAACAAGTTCTCGATCAGCTTCAGCCTTTCTGGCGTCCCCGAGACTCCACATTTCGTAGCAAGAGACGGGGAAGTAGCCGAGATGCGAAGAATGCTATGCTCGGATGGAAGCCGTCGCATTGTCGTGCTACATGGTCTCGGCGGCATTGGCAAGACACAGCTGGCTGCGACGTATATAAACCGATATCGGGACGAGTACTCGGCCATCTTCTGGCTCAATATTAAGGATGAAGCGTCCATCTAATAGAGCTTTGCTAGGATCGCAACGTAGATCCTGGAGCAGAATGCCAATGTCGGCAGCCTCAAGGGACTGAACCTACAGCAAGACCACGACGAGATTATCCAGGCTGTAAAGGCGTGGCTCAGCTTGCTAGGTAACACGCGATGGCTCATTGTGTATGATAACTACGACAACCTAAGGCTTCCAGGGCGGAAATCCGATGTAGCGATTGATATATACTAGTTTCTGCCGACGGCATATCAGGGCTCAGTGATAATTACAACACGGCTGTCGCAAATTGACATAGGACATCACATTCGAATTGAGAAACTCAAATCCGAACACGAGAGCCTACAAATACTTTCAAAGACATTAGGCCGAATTGGCTTATAAGATAGTGAGAATCTCGTGGCACTTAATATTCGGCGACTAATGGCGTTTCAGATGGTGATGTAAAAGACCTTGTGCGAGAATTGGACGGGCTTCCACTGGCTCTGGCTACTGCTGGAGCATATCTGAAGCGCGCCCCGATCAGCATACCCAAGTACCTTCGATACTACAAGGAATCTTGGGCAAGACTTACTGGTAATCTGCATCTCGGATCCTATGCAGATCGTACCTTGGCTACAACATGGCAGCTCTCATATGAACATGTTCAAACACAAAACCCACTTGCGGCTCATCTGCTCCAGTGGTGGGCCTACTTCAACAACGAAGACATATGGTATGATCTCATCCAGGCTAGCAACGAAGACGGCCCCATGTGGATGAAGCAGCTTTCAGGAGAGCTTAACTTCAACGATGCGATGGGCGTACTCTACGACTACAGCCTTGTCGAACCTACAACCATATTCCAGGAGATACAAGGGTACAGTATATATGGTTGTCTGCATTTATGGACGGTCCATATATTGAACGAGGAGTGGGACAGCGCCTTGAACAAGCTTGCAGTCGAAAGCGTGGCGTCGCAGGTTCCATCCAACATTGAAGCTGAATATTGGCTGCTTCAGAAGCGACTAATTCCACATGCAATCCGGTCTTGTTCAACAGTACGGGAGAGCGATATTCCTTCGAACTGGGCTTTCCATTCTCTAGGCTATCTTTATTCTGACCAAGGAAAGCTGAACGAGGCCGAGAAGATGTACTTGCGAGCGCTCCATGGATACGAGAGAGCTGTGGGACTTGATAATGTCACGATATATCGACCAGCGATTAACACCCTTTCGAACCTAGGATCTTTACGGTTTGAACAGAACCGTGTGAGTGAAGCGCGGCGATATTATCGACGTGCTCATGATAGCCTTGAGCAGCTCCTCGGGCCATCGCATCCGGCTGTCCAATCAGCGCGACAAACTCTCGAGCTTACAAATGTCGCCGTTGAAGCTGTGACGTCTTCAAGTGATGACCAACATTTGGCAGATCCAACACAACCCCAGGTGTCGAAGACGAGGCGACAAGAGAAGCTGAAGCGGGTCCTAGGTCTTCATATGAAGTAGAAAAGTCAGCAGGATGTCATACAATGTACCGCATTTGCCATGATTTCAGTTCAACGTCACGAACAAAGCCGCTGATGAAATTGCTGCTCTCTTGTCGGCTGAAGAGCCTTTTGTGGCCGGTAATATACGCACGCTGTCATCCATAATGAGTCACAGTTTTGGGCTCGAGCGGGACGTACTTGATTGCTGAGGAGCTGGGACTGATGCCGCTCCTGCAAAAGTAACCCACCACGATGAACTTTATTTCTAACAGGTGCTTGTTGTGGGGCTATCTGCATAGTGCATCTCACAGTGTGCAATAATCTACTGGTCCGTGCGGAAACATTAACTAGTGTCTAAAAAGCGGACACATGTGGCGGTCACTACTGTAGTGTTGTCTTGGTGACTCAAGTGCCTCGCCTAAGCCCTACCACGGCGTTGGCCTACTGACCTGCTTAACTTTGGATAGGAGCACGAATACCCATAGCAGAATTCTCGGTTGGGGGGCTCACAAGTATTTCTACGAGGTACAACTTTAAGAAATCCAGGTATGATATGAGCTTGTACGTATTGAGAACCAGTACTTCCAGTCTAAGACGCTAGCGGAGACTGCAGTGTCCAGTTGTGAATCGCCTGGAAGACTTATTAAATAGCGACAGGTCTTCCCGCCATGCGCTGAGAGATAGATTTCTCCTTGTATTTGACCGAGTCTACTTCACAAGTGGTTGTGGTCTGCAATAGCGTATCAGACGCAGGGTAGCGATTAGGCTGTATGGTATTCCGTCTGGATACTCGGCCCTAGCGATTATCCTCGATAGTCTCAGGAAGTACTATACATAACTATAGCAATGGGCTTATGGTAATGTAGTATTAAATGAATTCTAATCCATAGATATCCCGTCGGACTGGGGTAATTATCAGCGTATTCGTTATTATTATATAACACACTTAACGGTAACTTATGTATTATACATCGTAAGTATAACGTACTCCACAAGGGAGTGGGACAAACAAGGGAGTGGGTCACTTTCGTCCTACCTACGCGACAATATATAAGAGAAATCAACCACAACGCCTTAAATTAATTCAAACTATTCAGAATCCTCTTCTTCAGAGGTGGACTTAACTTTCTGACACGTACGCGCATTATGGCCGGGCTCCCCGCAGACGCCACAGCGTCGCGCGCGCGTCTCTGTCCTCGTACGGCTACTATGCTGACTCGTTTCTGCCCTTAACTGCTCCGTCGCGTCAATCTGGGACTTTAAATTCTTTGCCTGATCAATCGTAAGGGACCCTCCTTTCTGTAATTGCTTTCTCTTCGTACAGCGACGGCGGCTAAGGCGGTCATTTGCATCTCGAAGTTCGGCGAGTTTATGGCGTACAAGGGTCTGCTCGTGCACCATTATCGCGATTCCTTTATTTAGCTGCCGTAAGCTTGCAATTATTGATGAAGGAGAGCTACCCTAATGCCGTACGATACGATTCTTGATGTATTTAGTCTGCGATTCGGCTTTAATCGGGTTGTTTAGCGTCTTCGAGACCTAAGGTGGCGGAAGGCCTATAGTTGAACTTGGCGGAGTTGGCGTATGAGGCTTTACATCTAGCTGCGAAATAACATATTCCGGGTCGTACGGTACTAGGCCAGTCGCTCTAAAGCCTGCCTATATATTTGACTTGGTAATTGCAGCGTTGTACGCCTTGTAAAAGGCTAGGAGGAAGTCTTCCTTCACGATATGGGTAATATACGCCCGTATGAGACCTTCGATTTCTTTTCCGTACGCCCGTTTTAGAGGTCCGAAGTACCCGACATCGAGAGGCTGGAGCTTATGCGACGAATGAGCAGGTATATAGAGCGTAATTATGTTCTGGTCCTTGCAGTATAGCTCGAAATCGACTGAGTGGTGGCTCTCGTAGCTGTCGAGGATAAGGAGCCGGTAAGCGCCCTTCGTACGGCTCTTTATATGAAAATCGAAGTGTTTTACCTATTCGAGACCTTTCTCATTCGTCGTCCAGCCGTTTTCAGTAAGCGTAATTACCCAGTTAGGCGGTAGAGGGCTTTCGGTCGTCCAGGAGTTGAGGTGGACCTTCCCTGCGAAGATGATGTACGGCGGAATCGAATTGCCGGACGACCCGATACCCTAGATTACTATAACCCATTCCTAATTCCCTTGTTGCACGGCTCTTAGCTTGCCGCGTCGATCGGAGGTCGTAACCACAGTCTCGGCGGAGATCTTACCTATCGCGAAGCCCGTCTCGTCGAAGTTGTAGATATCGTCATTGTAGATACCGTATTCGCGATTATATTCCGTACGAGGGTAAACCACGCGCGATACGCGTCCGGATCTTCGCAGAGGACTCTCTGATAGTCGATTCTTCGATTAAAACGCGTTCGGAGCTCAGGTCGTCGTCGTACGAAGTTTGCAGCCCAGTTGGTTCCGACGCGCGGCGCGTCGCGTACGCGGAGGAGTCGATCCGCCATTTCTCGAACACCACTAAGGCGCGGTGGAAATGATCGCGAATCTAGGTCGATTACGTATCGTACAATGCTGTTCTCTTCGTATGAGGTCAATTTCTGGCTTTGTGGTCGTGAATCGCGCTTTGCAGGTTGACCATAGTATCGTCTGTGGAGTGTTGATTTCGACACGTTGTATATCGATGCAGCTTTACGAATTGTCAATTGTTGGTTTGTTTTAAGCGCATTAAGCGCTAGAATCAAATCGCCTTCAGTTGATTGTCGTGGCATAATTATTGGTGGAGGAAAATAAGAAGAAAGAGAGTGTCTTTCAGAAAGCGGGAAAGTGTCCCACTCCCTTGTTTGTCCCACTCCCTTGTGGAGTACGTTATGTATATTGTTTGGGATTTTTTCGCATGCTTTGGAGTGGCCGCGGAATATGACTCCAGGTCGAAGATCTGTACGGAGTCTTGCTATGGATTCTTCGTCTGTGTATTTGGCTTCTTTCTTGATTTCCAAACGTATAAGTTCGCGGAAGGCCATCAAAGTTTCGGAAGCCACGAAGCTCCGGTTTTTAACTTTTGGCCAGATCCCCACGGTATAGAGTTCATTTTGGACTATATTGTCTAGGAACTCAGACAACGCGGTTTTCAAATAGTCTTCGTACCCACGTAGCTCCTCTTCTATAAGTTCTCGATTATCCGTGACCTTGCTTTGATGTCCTTCTTGTTTGGCAAGGCTCTTCACCCTCTTCGTCTTTGTGCCCGTCTTAGCTCTTGGTACAACATTGAGCCTCATAGGACTCATTTTGCTCGCAGTTCCGCTAGTCTTCGGAACGCTCTCTTTGATTATCTCCGTAGCGCTCTTCGATTGGAGAGACAAGATAAAGTCTTTTATCGCCCAGGAGTTACGGCTAACTTTATTCACCGCTTGGGCCAGTGGCAGGAGGCGTTCGGCCTCAGTAGCCCCGGTCTGCTCGAGTATGAATCTGCCTACGACAGCTGCAAGCTGTAGATAGGGTTGGCTCGTTTTGTGGCGCATCTCTTCGAATTTGTTCTTTCTATTTCCCGCTTTCCATTTTCTGATTATGTTATCGAGTCTTTTGGGCGATTTATCCGGATCCAACTCCTCCCGAGCCAGATTCCGGTGGTACTTTTCGAAAGTCTTCCAAAGGGGGTGAAGTGTTTCAATGCCGGACCAGTCTATCTCAGTTAGTTCGCGGGTCAAGTCTTTGATACACGTATGAGCTGCAAGTCGCTTAATCTTGTGCAGCCTGCCTTTTCCAATTGAGTCCATAACCTGTAGAAACCGGAAGTTTTCCGATACTTGAAACTCTGTTTGTTCCCATGGTTGAACTCCTATTTGTTCCCATTGACCATTGATGTACGAACGAATCCAGAGTTTGATTAGCGATGCAAGGGCGTAATATGCCTTTGCGTCCTCAATGCTGATTTTGGCGTATTCTCTCGCAATGTGCTTAGTAACGAGCGTGAAAAACGCCCGCAAGTTGATCTGATCTATCCCAACTTCAGCCTCGATTAGTTTCTTTACATCCTGATTCTCGGCAAAAGCTCTAAGCTTCAGCAAAAGAGATTCCAGCGGTAATTGACTGGCCATTCTCAAGGCCTGATCTCGTTCTTTTTTAAAGCTTGCCAACTCGTGGATCTCAGTCCAATCCTTTGCAACAAGCTCTTGAAAAGCTTGCGTGACATGGTTTTGCATTTTAATAAGAACCAGTACTTTCAGCTGGACCCGTTTGTACTCCTCCGCCGCGTAGGTTCCTGGGTATATGTACCCACGAGCCAACTTGGCAAAAAGGAACTAGCTCCACGTAAAAGGTTTTACTGAGTCACACAATGTCACGCATCCCTAACCTAACATTGACCAAAGGGATGTTTACGGAACCGCCAAGACTATATAGTTAGAATGAAAAACACAGCGGATGAGACCGCGCTAGCCGTCGATCATTGCAGATTCAGCGCCGAATTAACAGGCGACAAAAAAAGGGTACTAGTCAGGGACAACAAAAGAGTACTAGGAACCTATACCTGAGGAACTTAGTACTATAGTACCTACTGTCTGATTCCAGGGCGCTTTTTAGCTAAATCCATGGGACCCGCGCGCGCCACCCATCTCCGACAGCATCCCTGCATACCGTGAAGTCTCGCTCGTTCTCTCTCTGGACATGTCATGTTCAACGAAAGGTCTGTGCACGTAGCAGGTCTATCTTATTCTAGCCCCCTTTCCCGCGAATTTACTCAACACGCTTTACCCTGGATTTCTTTTCTACCCCCATATTTTTCACTAAATGTGATCCACCGATATATCCAAAAAACCGACAGCAGCCGGGTAGCCTCTAGTAGAACGATGCGCAACCAGTCTCTAACTGACTCCGCGACTACGCTGGAACGCGGAAAGGATCCCGACCCGGTCTTAATATACCTACAGCTTTACGCCGACCTAACATACAATGTCCTCATCTGCTGTAGACCCAAATGCCGATACGCTATTTCACCATACGGAGCCCAGTGTCACAATCCAGCCTCCGGGGTCAACCGACTTAGATTGATCGCTGAAGTACAAAGGAGGTGACTATCTAGAGTAAAGGGAATCCAGTTGACCATATACTTTTGTCCTTCATCGCTGAGTTTACGTGGTCACCCCCTCCTGTATGACGTTCATGCTTCTGGTGATGACCGTCAGTCTTGGCGTGGTGACGGTCATGTAGCCGTCACGACAGCGCATATTGGTGTGAAGCTGAGCGTGGCTGACTATCGCCACGTGGCTATCGAGCTATGTCGACACATTCGAAGACTAGTCACTCAGCAGCTCGAGGTTGATATGGGTGATGAGGCCAACTGTGACAACCCGCAGAACTTTGAGGACCGGCTTACTGGCGAAGCACGCAGGCAGAACAAGGTCGAGTACGTTTGGGGTTTACAGGCCACGATCGCGCCCCATGTGGCCAGATCGGCTTGGCAGCCCTGCGAATGCCCCCTCAGGAGCGACAAAGACTGGAGTAATGTTGATTCTTCCTATTCCGCGAATACCTGGACGAGTGGAGGAGGACGAGCTTCCGAGCACCAATTCGAACATGTGAGGACCCCCGGGGCTCGGAGCCACCGCCAAGATGCATCCGAGCCAGCACTACTGGCGAGGCCGGGCAAGTGCTCCTGTGTCGGACTGTTGATATCGCTGGAGGAATGCTTCTTCGCAACTCTCAGCAACCAATCCTATGTCCCTTTAGAAGACCCCTTTCGGTCTCTCCATAGAGCGTATGGTTGCAGTGGCTTCGGAGTCATGGATCGCTTTAGAAAGCCGGGTACAATACATAGTAGTTCACCAGCATTTGACGAGACCTTAGGCTGCGCCGCCAAGTGTGCGGCAACGGAAGATATCTTGACAAGGATAGAGGTGCACTGACCAAATGTCAAGCTGCCGTCCAAGAGTGATACACGCGATGGATATGCTTGAAAGATAGAACACGCTGGATCATACCTGTAATTGGGCTATCGTGACCGCCCAACACACGACGCGAGGATCCCGGCACAGTGGGGCTTTCCAAAAGGAAGAGGTCGTCCTTGAGTACGCCTTCGTGCACCTACCTATTAAAAAGGGCCTTCACGGCATCCTCCTCCCATCATAATATACAATAGCTTTGGGTTTTCTAAACTCATTGGGCTTCTTTGAATTCCATAGAAATCCACTACCGGACTCTCTATTCGTGCGACATCTAGCTGGTGTCCTGAACGGAGGTGGGCGGGAGACTGAGAAAGTGGGCCCACCGTGATCAGCGAGACGTTGCCTGCAAACGATGGCCAAGCATCTGGTCTGCGAGCGTGTGGAGACTGGCACGCTCCATATGCATGGGTGCTCTGGGTTCTATGAGGCACCGGCTCAAGGGTGGCCAGCTACGGGCGGTCAAATCAGCAGCGGCGGCAGCAGTAGAAGGCTTCCGAGGGCACGTGGACCCATACGAGGCAGAGCCCCCGGTGGGCGGCAGTCCAACTATCACGGAGCTGCAGGTCTACTCCGGATTCTGCTGTATAGCGTGCCGATTCGTGACAAGAAGGCGGGAAGAGATTCAGAAGCACCGGGCTAGAGAGGCGGTCAGCCATGATCCCGGCCAAAAGGACTGTTCGGCAGGCATAGGCCACACGTATTGGAAAGAAGTGCGACTACAGTCGTTCTCGTCGGCAATGCACCGCACGCGGTACTGGATCGTAGGAACGCCGGCAGCGGGGCAAGCTACCACGCATGCAAGGGCGGAGCCGGGGCCGGATGGCGGCGGTGGAGGTCAAGACTGTGAGGCCAAGATGGCGGCAAAAGTGGTGACCGAATATGCGGAGTGGGGCCGGACATGGCCGAGCTCCAGCGCGTAGCTGGTCTGCATGCCAGCTCTGTCCAGCAGCCAGAAGGCCCTGGTAATGATCATTGGGGGATCTCGCGTTGTCACGAATTAGGCCTCTGCGTATCGCATTACAGGTCCAGAGGGATTGGCGCGTAAGTATAATACTCGGCGTAATCTTCTGCATTTGGGGGTGCCTTAATGGAGAATCTGACTTTAGGTCGCTGTGGTGGTGCCCAGCATGGCGGGGGAACACACAAAGCAGAGGCGGCTGGGCTTGGCTGACACGATTCATTCCCGCCACCAGGATTTCGGAGGGGGTGGTGTTGTGCTGGCTGGTGCCCGTAACGAGAAGGACAGTGGCCAGCCCATTCTGACGAGCTGCAGCTTGTCGAGTTGCTAGATGGTGCTGCCTGCCCACCTACCCAAGCACGAGCTGATTCCACGCGCCGCGCCGGCCGCCGGCCCACACCCTTGTCCACTAGAGTAGCCGCTGCACGCGAGCCTCACCGCCGCGCGCCGCTCCGTCTCAATCATCGCGCCTGTCAAATCGCGACAACGCCTGCCGCGCTCTCGTCGATCCCTCAGAATCAGCTTGAATTTGCTCCTGTTCGGAGCCGTGCGCGCGTCGGCGTCTGCAAGTCAGTCAGCACCTCGGGCCGCATCACCCGCCCAACCAAGCCCACACACCTTTACAAGCTTTTCCTCGCCTGCGCCGCGCATAGCAGCCGATATCCATCCTCTTTGCTTGCTGCAAGTCTCATATCATCGTGGGCAGTATCCCTCCTTCTTGCCGCTGGATAGAGACAGGGTCCCCTGCCGCGTGCGCCACGCCACCGTAGCTCTCTAGCTGCAGATCTTGTAGTAGCTCCTGCTGCGCCATCCGCACAGCACTTGCCCCCCCCTCCGAGGCTGCGCGCAACTCCAACGCGGCGCTTTGTTGCAGGCTCTCCGCTGCTGCCTGGGCCTACTTGCTCTATTTTCCTTTCCAAGAGATTGCGCTGAGCTTTAACTGTCTGTTCCTCGGCTACTGCTCAGCCGTCCACGCGGCCCAGACACGTCGCTTGAATCCCACGCGCGAATATCGCATAGCAAACAGGTAACGCTGCTGCCAAAAGCACGCCAATCTTCAAGGTTCGAAGAACATACGATTCTGCAGCAATGGCCACCGCTCGCAAGCGGCCTCGGCCAGAGGAGTCCACTGAAAACGTGGCCGAGTGCCCTTTCACCGTCATCCATCCGGATCCCAATGAGAAGGAGATGAAGACAAAGCGCCGCCGTGGCGGTTCAGAGGATCGGCCTGCGCCTCCGCCAAAAATCCACCTCCAGGTCTCGCCATTCTCTCCGATCGGCAAGTTCAACGCCAAGGACAACACCATGGACCGCCACTACCAGATCGCTCCGTTTGCCAAGTGGATGGACATGACCAGATATAACAGCTTCGTTTGTACGCGGTCCTCCCTCATATCACCCCCTCCTTTGTCTCAATCTGTCTTGTGATGTCTCCTGCTTCGTCCTCTGACAACTTGTACCTTGATCGATACTGACATGCGGGTGCATAGTGCATGGTGTCAAGTACCACAGTGAAGGCTTCGTCTTCGTGGCTAACAACAACACGATTGAGCGCCAGAAAACCCTCGGCGAGTCCCGTCAACCTAGACAGAAGTTGGATGACGACTGGGTCGCAAGGATTCTCGAAATCCGCGCCGCGGACGAGCATCACGTGTATGCGCGCGTCTACTGGATGTACTGGCCTGATGAGCTGCCGGCAGGCACGACAGAAGGAAAGCGAGTCATCAAGGGTAGGCAGTCTTACCACGGCAACGACGAGCTCATCGCTTCCAATCACAGTAAGGAATTCTGCGTGCCCAAACTGGTATGTATCGCGTGGATAGCTGACATACGTCATCTTTGCAGTGGATGTCATCAACGTCGTCAGTGTCACGGCAAGCGCTACTATTCATCAGTGGAACGAGAAGAATGACGATAAATTACAGCCGGGTCTATATTGGCGCCAAGCTTTTGATGTGCAAACCATGGATCTCTCGGTATGCCATTCACATTCGCACAGGACGGGCGCTAGAAAGTGCCTGCTGCTGAGACTGTACTAACTCATGTGTTTATACCAGTCTGCAGAAGAATATTGCCGCTGCAACCGTCCCGAAAACCCCGACAAGGAACTCATTTGCTGTACCAAAAAGGAGTGCGACAGGTGGCTGCACCCCGATTGCCTGGCTCACGAAGCTCTACTCCGCACTCTCGCACGCCTCGGAACTAACAAACCTCACAAGCCGACGCCCGTCAAGGACGAGCAAGATAACGAGACTGGCTGCCTGCCTCCGTCGCCCAGCGAGTTCGGAGCAGTTACAACGGCCGATCCCTCTATTGATGTGAAGCCCGAGGAGCAGAACACCATCAAGATGGCTGATATCGAAAATGTGCTTCCCATTATCACGGCAGAGCGCACAGGACAGGCGCCAGAACCAAAGAAGAAAGGCCGCGGCCGCAGATCAGATGCCCAGAAAGCAAAACTATACGAGGGTTATTTCTCTGCCACCATTAGAAGTGACGCCAGTCCGCCAGTTGTCGAGATCACTGATTTGCGGGAAGAAGTGACCGGTGGTCTCAAGGAGTGGACGGAGCCTCTGGACTGCCTTGTTTGTGGTCAGAAAATCCACCAAACCAGGAAACTCTAGCATCTGTTGGAAGAGTTTTCCTAGAAGCATAAGCCAGACGACAAAGACGATAGAGGTCCATGGAACAGACGATCGGTACATGAGATCTTGCAGGATCGCTCAATTTTCGAGGTAATAAGGAAGCCAACCGGACCCAGGTTACCTAGAGACTCTTCGCAGCATGCGTAGATAATGTTCTCAGACCTACCTACTGTCTCATTCCACCCCATAATCGAGTCAACTTCCAGGGGTCCACACGCATGCAGTGTCCACCGTGCACACGGCGACGTCCCTCTCATTTGGTAAGGCGTTGTTCACCATTTGCGGGCCTCAGTGTATCGATCTTGACCCACACAATGGCCAAATGTATTACAATGACAACGTGAAGCTCCTTCACTACGGCGGATTTGAATGTGGCCAGCTTCTCGATGACGGGCCCATAGTGAGATGTTGATAAGGAGATCTCGTCCACTGAGTACGTCGCGGGATGATAACGCAATCAGCGAAACAAGACGGAACCGAGCCGGGAGGTGCCTCGCTTCCATTTTGGGGGACAAGGGCGCCAGCAAGCCGACAGCAGCACAAGAAATGTTGTTTGAGTGGGTACTCAGGGTCAGCCTGCTGGAAGATGCGGATATCAGGAAGGCAAAACTCAATTACTACACCAAAGTCGTGCACCGACTAAGACCGATGTAAGTATCGTGACTCCAGATTGCTGCCACGATCCCGACTGTTACAGCGAGGCATCCATCCATCACCACATGCAGGTCCTTCATCTCATCCACACTCTCTGCCACGGATCCTTAACAGTCTCTCCTGCCCTGCTCAACTCCTCTCCAGCCCAGTTCGCTTTTGGTCTTCCAAGCGTAAGTGCTTACAAACCTCGTGGTGTCGGAGATTCTTTGCGTCTTTCTTGACTTTCTCGAAAGTTGGAACATAAGCAGACTGGAGATACTCTTCAATCTGTCCGTACGTCTTACATAGACCCTCGACCAGTTTTTGTCCAACCATCCCTCAATCACGTCACGATCTACGTTAGGCAAGGTTTTCATAATTCAATAGACAAGGCAATACTTACGTGGTTCCAGAGTCCATTTATTAGCATCGTTATGCAAATTCATAAGTTCCACATCGTCCAAACCTCGGTCAAACAACTCCCAAATGTCGGGAGTGTCTGTGTGCTACTTTCTCTTGAACGTCTTATCACTACCTCGTGCCGCGTGAAAGGTTCCTTTGTGCTAAAGGCACATGTCAGGGCTTGGCCTGTTGACTCATCTAGAAGGCCGTGCCCTCCGCGCCACCATTATGACGACCTTATCCGCGCATCCGCCTTTTGCGACGTCTAACAGAGATAGACGGAGCACAGCCACACAGCTATGGCGCATCTTCTGGAGCGGCAAATCGCCCTTCGCAAATACATAAGCAGGCTCTACCAAAAGAGGACGGCTTTGATCTGGAGGCTCATTTGTCCTGTTGCGTCAAAATTCCAATCAAGCCGACCTGCTGTCACTTTCGCCATAATATTACGAAATGTACAAGTGCAGAGCATACACGCAGAAATGTAGTCCGAAAAGCGGAAACGGGTCTCAGGGTAATGACCTACGTGCCTCCATCTTGGACCCGTGGTCCGCGATTTCAATATTATACATCAGTGGTAAACGAACAATAATTAATGCATGCTCTTCACTTCTCGGCATGCCAGGGGACAAGAGTCAGGCGCCGAGGCAAGGCCCCCGAGAATCACGAGGTTTGAGCACCCCGTTCTCTCGAAACGATAGGAGCCAGTCTATCTCCCGTGCCAGGCACCGCCACAAAACCTTGCAAGGCATACAGGCGTCGGAAGAGAATGAGAACGTATATAATCGGTTGTTAGAGCCGGCCACTTACGCGAACTTCTGCCCATCCACACCAAGATCATACCATACACCACACTATCATCATAAGTGACTCCACAAAACACAGAGAGCACCGTCGCCGATTCAGGACAGCAGACCTTCCCAGGATTTGACGCAACAGATGGTATGCTCCATGATGCAGTCAGCATCATCCCCGTATTGCGCGCAGCACGTTTATCGCCCGTCCCGACTGCCGCGCATCTCGACCGATGCAGACATCGATTCGGGTGTTAAACCCGCGCAAGATTTGAGTGATCGCTCGAAGCTCTGGGCCGAAATCAATCAGTGCGGTTGGGAAACGGAGAGCGCGAGACGTCTCCCTCACGACAAAGCCATGCGCAAGGCTTATATCAAGTGGCAGAAGCATCTGCGCAGTATGGTCTTGCTTCCGGACCCCAGTGCGGGGCAGGGGAGCGAAGTGGCGATAGGAATGGATATATATGATGCCTATCTCTTAGATTTCAGCTCCTTTATACGGCTACAGGTGCGCTTTCCCTTGAACATCTGGACCAGGCAAGCGCTAATGTTACGACCGGCCCCGCTTTCCCCAGATCACGCAAGATCTGACCACAAAAATGTATTTCTTCTGGGTGAGAGAAGGCCCTATTGGTCAATCAGGCCAATTGATCAAGACCGCTGAAAGCCCAGACTTGGGGGTACTATCGAGAAAGTTCAGCTACCACTTCAAGCGCTATACTGGCAAGGTGTGGGCACGGCGCTACACTGTTTCCCCAGATGAAACACGAGTCAGGCGGTACGAGTTCGTAGAGCTCGACTACGGACAAACCTTACATTTACCGGACCTACCCGACTATACGGCTCTGCACTCGACTGCTCCGGACGAAATCAAAGTCCTTCTGGACTTGGCGTTGTATGGCAAAGTATCACCTGTAACGACCAAGCCCCAGACAACGGAACGTCATGGTCACCATACACGGCGCCTTTCAACCAGCTCAGTCGCTATACAATATATCTCGCCTTCCGGATTTTGAAGGAGATACAAAGCCTGCTGGATAGCAGCGGCACTTCTCTGAGCTGGAAGGCTTTGCAGCGTCATACAACTCGCTACAGAAAGCAAATTCCGCTGTATCAGGGTCAGAGAATCTTCACACCAGTAATTTCAAGCTACAAGGCACTGTACCTCGAGTTACGGCTTCTGCACTCGCTGTCGCCCTATCAGCAGGAGATTTCGCGGACCGTGCACGTTGTTACGTAGCGCGCGATGATGGACTGGCGGTTTCACGGTGCACTCGCACTGCCATGGCACCATGCTTATAGTTCCTTGAGTCACGGTTTTAGACGCCTGGAAGATCCTACATCGACCGAATACAGGGAACTTTGCCAGTATTTATTCGGCTCGAATCAGCCCACTCACAAGATGAGCTTCGAGATCAAGGATATCTACCGAGTCTTTGTCAAAACCGGAGCGAGAAACGCATATAATGACTGGATTCAGAGTCGCGATGACCGCGACAACGAGGAGCGCCTGCTTTTATGGCACGGTACTAGGCTCTCTTCGCTGCATGGCATCCTGGATGTGGGCCTGCAGATCCGACGCCGTGGCGTCTTGTACACTGGCACCATGTTTGGTGAGGGTATATACCTAGCGGATTCATCGAGCAAGTCAGCAGGGTACTGTCGAACCCGAGGTAGCACTGGAGATGGTGATGCGGTTCTGCTTCTATGCGAGGCCGACGTCGGAAAAGCTCGCTTACAGGATAACTCTTCCAATTATTTCGCTCACTTTGATATCGCGGCCTCGTGTGGCCAATACAGGTGTTTTCAAGGGCTTGGTAAATCTCAGCCAGTGCGTTGGAAGAGGACCACCTGGGATATGCAAAGGGCACCTGCTGCCAAAGCAGGTGTTGTGCAGCTGGTAAGTTGACGGATCCTGTAATGCTAGCTTCCGCTGCGTAGAGCTTTCTGGTGAAGGATATACCTTCGCCACGATGGGAAAAGAGATATCCCTCACCAGAAAGCTCTACGCAGTCCAGAACTCTTCGTTTGCTGAGTGCCTCTGGCACGAGATCACTTTGTTACATCTTCCGGCAGATGTAAGGTCACAGTCATTGAAACACCAAGCTGACAGTTTTCGTTATTTTTTTCTAGCCCGACACTCGGATTCCGTATCATGCATCGAACCCGCGAGGGGATTTGAAATTTAACGAATACGTTATTTACGATCCCTCGACTTGACCATTCGATACATTCTTCATCTGAAAATAAGTACTGCTAGGTAATTGAAGAACGGAACAAATTGAGATCCCAGCCTCCGCCTCGCCTGCTTTCCTCCTTCACCCACCTGCACAACCACCACGACTACCCTCCCACGACCTTCATCAATCCTGACACATCATCTCATCATTAGCTGGCAAGCGTTCCAACAGACCATCGCGACAATTGCACACACTTTGGGGCTAACCTTGCCAACCCACCACCACCACCCCGAAGGGTCGGAGGAACCAATCAGTCCTCCCCGGGGAGGTATCTTCTCCCCCTTTCTGCTTTTCATTTTCCTACTGTCCCATACGTAGCTATTCAGCTTGCCATCATCAACAGTTCAAGATAGGAACCAATAGTACACAAGAGCCACCGGCAGATTTTGCAGCCTTTTGGCCATGAACCGACAACGAGTCACGACGCCCTCACGTTTTGCCAAGCATACACAGCAGTGACACCGAACTACCATCATGGCCACGCCAGCAGTCGAGGAGCAAACCCTCCGCAAACAGCGTGTGCGTGCACTGGCTGCCAACCTCGATAAAGGCATCGGTGGACTGGACGTGCTGAAGGCAGTTGACGACACCTACGTGCCTCCAAAGAGCGGACATAATCGGCCTGGGGTCGCGCACGGCACCACGCCATACGGCCTCTCTCACAAGTTGCGTGGTCGACTGATGTCGAGCGAGGCAATCGATGGCAAGTGTATCTTTTTCAAGGACGTTCTCATCCGCCACACCGTCGTCTTCCGCAAGATCCAGATCGTCGACGGCGTCACTCCGCAAGTCACACAAGCGCACCCAGCATGCCCTGATGGGCCAGTGCGTTGCTGCCAGTACTCAAATGGGCGCGATACGACATCCTTCCCAGAGAAATGGTTGAAGCTCACAGAAGCTGCCTTCCGACCCTCAAGATCTCGGGTTGTCACGTCTGCGGTCAAGATGTCGCTCGTGATGGCTCTTGGCGACAATGTCCACTTTCCGGCAGCCATCTAAAGCTTTTGCTCGCCACTCTTGTCCGTTGTGAGTCTCCATATACGGATCGCTGCGTGCACAGTGCATGGGAATGAGCGGGCCGAAGTTGACAAATTGCGTGGCATTCCCACGCGATGACGAGAGGTGTCATGATTTGGCTTGACTTGCTCATGAAGATCATCATTGCCTCCCTGGTCCTGGTGCGCTGGTCTTCATGGGGATGGAAGGTCAGCTAAATCGTGGCATCACTCGATATATCTGCATGATTCGCTGGAAAACGTTGGCTGTAGATGCACTTGGGCACCTGGACAGCCCCCAGAGCGACGAAATCCTTGTTGTCTATCATATCTCCATGCTCGTCCAACAACACCGTTTGATTCAGATAGTGCTGATGATCTGAACGCGAGCTGAGGTCGTTGGGTAGTAATCGCATGACCCCAAAACAGAAACATCTCAGCACCTCGAATGCGATGAAAGGTAGAGGCTGATCAGGGAAGTGGGCGTGCAAGGTCTTGATGGAGTCCCAAAGCCACGTGCCCTACCCCACAATCTACCAACCTCTCACGACATCTCACGACGCATGACACGCCCCTGCTGCTTTCTGATCTGCCGGCATCACTTGCGGCGACACGCAATGTCAGACCCTGGCTTTTCATACTTGTGCTCGGCTCCGTCCACTTAAGCTTCGGGCGTGGTGGTTGGGCGGGGACAGGCATCGGGATGTGGAGGAGCTTCGCCAGCCCATGCCGTGAGTGGAGTCGAGGCGGAGGCTTTCCATGGGGTTGCCAGGATTCATGTTGGAGAGAGGCTGAGGCTGGCCGGGTCTGTGGAGGAAACTCAGTCCGGAGCACAATCGCGGAGCACGATATAATCTGGGGTCAAGTCCAGGTCTACCCCAGACTCTCCGCTTCCTCCTTCGCCTTGGCCACGGCAGTGTTCAACCTTGTCCTCACGGTGATACTTGCACATTTACTTACCATCAGTGGAACGACCGCACGATTTACGAGCTCGTCATGGCTGACAATAAGCCCGCCGCCATCGATACGATGGACCACATTGACGATGCGCGCAGCGGCAGCGGTCACGAACATTCCGAGAAACCAGCAGCCACGGGCGCCGCCACCCACGTGGCCGGCGATGCCCTCCTCCTCGACAAGCAGGGCAACATCCGGCGCCTGCCCATTCCATCAAACGACCCCAATGATCCCCTCAACTTCAAGACGTGGGAGAAGGCAGCGACCATCTTCTGCTGCTGCTGGTTCTGTAAGTCTCAATTGCATTCCCCCGCTGCAATGCAGGGAACGTGTGCTGATTGTGCTTGGTAGCCTCGATGTCCCTTGCTCTTGCAGCCGGGCTTGGGCCGTTGTTGGGAGTCTTCTTTGGGATGTACGCTCCTCAGGGCTACAGCCCGGGCCAGATTGTTTATCTCCTCACGATTCCCGCGTTGTGCATTGGGCTTGGTAAGTCTAGTGACCTCATACACACGTGAGACACGAGTGGCTAACACAATATTACCCCCAGGAAACTACATTGTCCTGCCTCTAGCTCTCGCATACGGCAGACGGCCCGTGTTCATCGGGTCCACCGTCGTCCTCCTCGCCTCCTCGATCGGCGCCGCCACGCAAAACTCGTACACGGGCCATCTCGGCGCGAGGATCGTGCAGGGACTGTCCACCGGCGCAACCGAGTCGGTTCTGCCTCTCATGCTCACCGAGCTCACGTATCTTCACCAGAGGAGCAGGGTGTTCGGCTTGTACTGGCTGACCCAGACGCTGATCTCGAACCTCCTGAACATCTTCTCGTCCTACATCAACGCCGCCCTGGGCTGGCAGTGGTACTACTGGGTCTTTGTTATCACGATCGCCGTGGGACTCGTTGCTTCCATCTTTGGTGCCTTCGAGACTCGCTACGCCCGTCCGGCCATGAGCATTGATGGCGTGGTCGTCTACACTGACGACTTTGGCGTGACCCATGTCGTCCCTGCCGACGAAGCGAGCAGCCACCCTGAGCTCCAAGCTCAGGGACTCGCTGGCCTTCCAGACAACACGCCATATGACGGCCCACAGCCCACTTACAAGAATCGTGTCGCGCTCTGGGGCAAACCCCACCCGACCCCAGCTAAGATCATGGTTAGCTCGTGGGTGCTCATGGTCAAGTGCTTGACATCGCCAGCTATCGTCTACGCAATCCTCATCAGCTCTGTTGCATTGGGTAAGTATCTTGCGTTGGCCTTCATTATTATCATATCATCTTTGCACAATGCAGAAAACGTGTCATCGCTTTTCCTTCGATTTGGTTTTCGTCGTTTTCGTCACTTCATTCCCCTCATCCATTCGACGCGCACGGCGACTGTCTTTCACGAAAACTAACAAGGAAACAGCCGGACTGATCAACCAGAGCCTGTCCTACAGTGAAGCGCTCATGGAGTACGGCTGGGCTCCTGAGTCTATCGGCCTCGTCAATGTTGGCGCCATCATCGGCTCGGTTCTGGGCTCCGCGTACTCGGTCTTCTTCGGCGACTGGCTTGTCCTCTGGCTGGCCAAGCGCAACCAGGGCATCCACAAGCCCGAGCACCGCATCATCGTCCTGGCTCCCATGGGCGTGCTTGGTTTTGCCACGCTGCTCGGCTACGCCTTCACCGTGCACGGTCTTCCGAGCTGGTGGGGTCTCATGGTGACGTTTACCTTTTACCAGATGGCCTGGGTGTCCGTGCTCATCATCTCGACCACGTTTGCCGCCGAGGTGTGGCCCAAGCACCCCGGTCCCGCGCTCGTCATGGTCGTCGGCAGCAAGAACATTGTCTCATTCTGCCTGACCTTTGCGTATACCCCCATGGTCGAGCACGGCGGCGTCACCTGGGCATTCTGCGTGCTTGCGGGTGTCTTTGCGGGGTGCTTCTTGCTGGGGTTCCCGGTCTACTTCCTCAACACGAAGTGGCGCAGGAACGAGAGCAAGAAGGACAGCATCAACTCGACGACGGACTAGATGATTTTGATGGCTTAAGTAGAGCGATTAGAGGACGTATCGCAAGATTGATCAGGCTAGTTCCCCTTTCTGAAGGACACGCGGTAGTTTAGCCATTGTACCTTGGTCAAACCAAATTGAGCTTTGCCGACTTCGTCTCAAGAGCATTCGTCTGTCCAGCCATGTGTCGTACCAGCAATACGGTGCATGTCACCATGTTATCATGCCGCACACCTGCAGCTGACAAATGTGTCATTGACCACTCCCCAAGCTTGCTGTGCGCACAGACTCGTCCCACGTGTCACGGGTTCGGCTTCTCGTGGCGCTAAATGCTCTCCACTCCAAACCCCACTTACCCCGGATTTCGTGATGTGGAGGGCTCCCCGCATCCCCGCCCCAGCTTAACCCCGTGCCTCCCGAGCCACGACGACCCCTCAGCCGCCTCCTCACGCCTGCAAGAGCCGACTCGACGGTGGAGACACGAACCGAGTTTCCAAGGGAACCATATGCATGTGGACATGGCATCGCTGCAGGGTTCGGTTCGCTCGGCCTAGCGCGTCGCGGATCACGCGGTTCGGAAGACACCCGCAGGGTGCAGGACCCCTGGAGTCGCTCTCCTCTTTGTCCTGTCTGCCTGTCAAGCAGTAGCTGCTATAAGTACTGGACAAGTCCCTCAGGTAGTTGGAAATTGGTAGCAGCTGCACATCTCCATCAACCGTTCCACTTCCGCCTTGTCTTCAGTCTGACCTGGTCTGACCTGCGCCTGTGTGTTATCATCAGCCATCCATCCACTTCACGTTTCACGACGCGATCCCCCCAAAAATGTCAGAAGGCGCCATCGCCAAGCTTGAGGCTCGGGTCCGCGCGGCCGAACGCCTTGCTGAGCGCGTAAGTTCTTTCCCTCGAAGCACTGCCTCAGTCATAAGACCCGGCAGTCTTCGCAGTCGACGATGGACTAGACATTTGTTGACTGACACCTTCTCACTCACACCACCAGGCCCAGGCCCGCGGCGCGATCGAGAACATCTTCTCCAAGTACATGCACCTACACAACGTCTTCCGCGACGAGGAGATCAAGCCCCTCCGGGTCAAGCGCGGCACCGAGGGCATCCACGCGCAGTACACCAACGTGGGCGTGTACACCGACTACGACTCGGTCATGAAGTACCACTCCGGCGGGCCGTCCCCCGTGGGAAAACTGATCCTGCACATGACCAACACCCCTGTCATCGAGGTCGCCGAGGACGGGCAGACGGCCAAAGGGTTCTGGCTCATGAACGGCCTCGAGTCGGGCACCACGGACCCGGCCAACGTCGGCGCCATGCCCGAGAACCTGTACGAGCCGGCCGACAAGAACGTGCAAGGGAAGCGGGTGTGGGCGCACTGGGTCTGGTGCCAGTACGCGCTCGACTTCCTCAAGCAGGACGGCGAGTGGAAGATCTGGCACTTCCGGTGCCTCGAGGTCGCCAGGGCGCCGTACAGCGAGAACTGGATCTCGTTTGCGGAGAAGAACCAGTTTGCGTTTGGCAAGGTATGTCTTGACCACTGCGTGCGCCGCACCTGTTCACTGGACAACACTGATCGCTTCCGACAGGGCTTGGCGTACTTTGGGGACGACGGAAAGGCTGTCTTCATGCCGCAGGTCGACAAGCCCGCTGAGAGCAGGTCAGACATCTACAGCCCGGACCGGGTGCAGAAGTTGGCCGTGAAGCTTCCCGAACCATACACGACTTTCAAAGATGTCCCGGCGTACTGAGTGGAATTTGGTATCAAAGAATCATGATGGTGTAGATGCATACAAAATAAGGCTCTTTGGCCGCCAGCCCCGTTCCCATCAGTCCGTGATGTGATGATTGGAGAGCGACGTAGTCCAGCCCGGAGATCTGCGAGAAATCGAGATGAAACGGTCCTACTTCCCTCATTCTTTTCCGCCCAAGCTGTATGCGCTTCAAAAACGCAGACTTTGGCTTGCCAGGAGAATTCTTTTCATCCTGTTGACCCTCCCCGTGACCCAATCTAGGGATCCGGACATTCGGTGGACATTCGGGCGGCATCCAATTTACAATCGTGCTACTAACTTACGTGGCGTCAGAACCGGCCTGAAGGTCCGCGGCGTGGTTGAGCAGACTGCACATAAGCTAATACACAAGGATGATTATCGCGACCCTCAAGCTGCAACCAGTGATAGCATGTTGACCACCTTGACGACGTCGCTTTCACATGCCACTGGTCGTGTCGAGCACTCTGTTTAGCCACACTGGAACCGATTGGTCCGCCCTCATACATCGAAGCAGCTTCCCAGGGGTTTAGACCTCTCTCCGCTGGGGCTGAAGCAGGACTTTTTGACACGTCGCTGCACACCCTGTTAAGCCCTAGATGTGCGACTCCGCGAGACATGGCGCGTAGGACCAAACTTCCGGAGAGGGCAAGGTATCAAAACCATGTGCAGGGGGCTCACTTTGATCATTGTTCAGAAACAATTTGCCGAGCCTGCTGGAAGTAAGAATCCCCCTCCATTACGGACTACGCTCCCGGCCAATGATTGCTTTGAGGTGGCGTTTCTCGCTACCAAGAGTGCGCGGATGGGCTTATGTCGGTAAGGACTTCTGACAGATCGAGTGAGGACGGTAGCAGAAACGATAGCGCCCTGTCAATGACACCATGCCCTCCTTGTTTCATACCATGGACTTCATCATTCATCCTTTCAGGCGCACCCTGAACAGCAGTTGCCAGCATGCTTGTAACGATGATTCCGAGCTGTCAAAGCCCTGCGGGTTATCAAGTGGTTCATTGTGTTGAGCATGACGTCCTGGATGCGGTGTCTGGTAAGCCTACGTCGAAGGCATAACTTCGCCGCGCGGGCCTATCTGGCACTCCACCGGCAAATCCCTAACCAAGGAATGCTTTCCTTCAGCGATGGCCGAGTGCAGCTGCAGGGCTGATGATCGACACGGCGATGGTCTTCCGTATGCATTAAAGAACACGGAAGTTCTCGTGGCACGGAACCCTTGTCTCCATCCCGGTGACCTGCAGAAGTTTAAAGCAGTCGAACATGCCTCTCTATCTCATCTCGTGGACTGCATTGTCTTTCCAGCACGTGGCAGACGCTCGCCGGCGGACATGATGTCAGGTGGCGATCTCGACGGTGATAAATTCCTGGTGTGCTGGGACAAAGACTTGATTCCGTCCACCTTGTCCCAACCAGCCGAGTATCCTACCACCGAGGAGCCCGTCAAGTTTCGTCCCATCACGGATGACGATAGGTTGGTCTACGTTGCCGAATATACGAACGCATCCCTGGGCAGGGTCAAGAATCTCTATCTGGATTGGGTACGGGTGAAAGGACCTATGGCTCCGGAATGTCAAGAGCTCAATCGGCTATTCTCGCAATGTGTGGACGGGATCCAAATCAAGATACCGCCGCGACTCGAATCTATTCCTGTTATTCCGTTAGACAACCAGAAGTTCATACTAGATGAGCTACATGAGGCAGCTGCAGCTGACATCGCTCGCGGACGACTGCGTGAGACCAATCTGGCCTGCGCAGAGTTCGACATCATCGAACTCTTGGTATCTCGTCAAGACATCGCGATCACGGAATTTGAGCTCTTTAAGTTGACGGCAAAGCGGTGTCGCAGGCATGGGATGTGTCTAGGAGACTTCCTGTCTTACTTTGACATGAACTCCTTGACGGCCGAGGAAAAGCACTGGGCTCTCTCTTCGACACAACAACTACAGTGGGCACCTTCTCTCATCCTCAATGCCCTTTGTACATCCAAGATCGTGTCCGAGAATGATATAGCTCACCATGAGCTGAATTCTCCTCGGCTGAGATGGAAGAGGGTATATGACTCCTCACAATGCCGACTTGCCACATTCCTAGACACTGCCGCCAAAACGTTCGAGGAAGTTCAGAAAAAGCTGGTAGTGGTTCAGGTGGATGAAAGATTGTCTCTCATGATATATATACCACGGATGATACCAAAGGCCCAAGACTGTCTCGTCCACGATGCTGTTCACGTCGTGGCCTTTCCGCATGCCAAAGACTTATCGTCTTTCGGCCGCCTGTCTTGCTCGACTCGGAAGAACTACCGCTTATACTGTGACGACAACCTGTTTCAGTTGTTTGAAGGAAAACGGAGCAATACATGGATATTCATCAAGCGAAGTGCTTCGGATGATACTGCATATCGCAGTACTATAAATAGAGGTGACCGGCGGCCACCGCGCAAACAGAGAACGGCACCGCACTACAGGAGAGCGGACAGCTCCAGCAGCGAATGGTGCCACTCACGATGAAGGACAAAGGCGTATATAGCATGGAGGATTTCCTAGACAGACAGTCATTACCTTTGGACTTCAGCGATCAATCTAAGTACCATTCTCACCCGCACTTGGACTAGTCACTCAATTGTCGAGACTGGTATCTCTTCCCAGAGACACGACAACCCCAGAGAGAGAACGACATTCGACGATTGTGATATTGCTTGAGCTTTACCTACTTTGCAGAACAGCAACCCCGAAGCCCGACCAGACGGTTAACCCCGGAGGTCGGATCGTGACATCAGTCTTTATCGGACTGGATATGCCAGCCAGCGAATCAGGTTGCGTGCTAATCATCTTGGATGAGGACTCTAGCTTCTTGAGGCCCTTAGCCTGATCGGTTGGTTAAACTGCTGTCTTCTCTATCTCTTATCTCTTACTTCTTTTCATAGCGTGCCACCAGAAGGGTGCGGGAGGCCACGCAATCTTATACTCGGTTTAACTGTTCTACCGCCTTCCATTGTCTCTCGCCACCGTGCCACTTAGGTAAGCCATGCTGACGAAAGGTAGAGTACTGTACAGTACTTTAGGCCGTGGGAACAGCACGGTGTAAGCGCCAAGGGGCCTTAAAGCGAGACCCCAGATATTAAAACATTGATGCAAACGCGGGAAGCCGATTTCGCTAGTGAATGTACAGTAGAGACCGAAATCTGTGTCCATTTTTCAGTGTTTAAATATTCATAGCACGGGCCCGTTTTAGGGCCCGCTGTGGCTTATACATTGTGCGTTCCACTCCATTCTACGGCCACAACTATGTACCCGTAAGCTCCCAGCCACGTTTGTGATTGGTCCAGCGTTTGTCGTCGATGACAAAGAATACAAGCCACATGTTCGACGCCACACGAAGGCTGACGTCTGGCTAGATACATCCTAATGTAGTCCCACGGCAGAGAGATGAATAATTATATGTACCTCGGGTGGAAAAGCACCTCATGCGCTTACAAATATCCGCCAAGGGGACTCGGGCGAACTTACGGTCCGGAGCCCATCGCGGGCTGACACTTGGCGGCTTACAAATTCTCGAGGCACCCTATTGGTTAGCTGGGTCAACTAAGCCCAGATCAGGTGCGGTAACATGGTCCGTGGACTCAATCAAATAATGAACCGTCTCGGCATTGGCTCCTGGCTATCCCTCACCCCGGGCCTGCTCAACAGTTACGCTTTGTCCTCCAGCTGTGACTCTTTCGCCGACCACAACAGCTACTGCGAGGCTGTCATGGCGACGCCTTTTGGACTGGGCATGTCAATCACCATGTAAGATCGGATCAACAAGTTCGGATGAGGCCGTGCAAGTCCAAAGATAAATAGATACTTACATCGAGGTCGAGAGTCGGGAAAGGAGGCAACAACCAGCTCCTTGGCTTCATTGCGGTGTCGCCCTTACAATCACCTTCACCGATAAGCCTTATCCTAACCTCTAATTATCCATGGCGTCCTTCAACGGAAACGTGACGTTCTTAGGCGTCGGCAACATGGGCACGGCGGCGATCCAAGCCCTTCGCAAGGCGTCGCATCCCGTGACTATCTGGAACCGCACCAAGTCTCGTCCTCAAGTCCAGGCCGCCATCGACGCCGGCGCAACCTTTGAGCCGGACCTCGCCCAGGCGCTGTCAAGGAGCGGCGTGATCGTTCTCTGTCTTCTCGACTACGCCACCATCACCAAGATCTTCTCGTCGATTGGCGAGCCCGGAGCTGTCCTGAAGGGCAAGTCCGTCATCAACCTCACCAACGGCACCCCGAAGGAGGCTCGCGAGATGGAAACGTACTTCACGTCCCTCGGCACCATCGTCTACCTCGACGGGGCCATCATGGTTACTCCGCAGATGGTTGGCGGCCCTCACGCATTCCTCTTCCTCAGTGGTGGCCAGGGGAGCACTGAAACCCCCGACGGCGCCACATCCCGCCTCGTCGAGCTTGTCTCACCCATCGGCAAGCCTGACTACCTCGGTGCCGATGTCGGTGCGGCCTCTCGGTACGACCTTGCCTCCCTCGCGCCCATGTACGGCATGTTCGCCGGCGGCTTCCTGGGCATGGCACTCCTGAAGCGAGGGAACCCCAATGCCAAGCTGGTGCCTGTCGTTCAGGAGAAGATTGTGCCCATGATCGCTGCACTAGTTCCGTATATGACGGGCATTGCGCGTGCGTGGGACGCCGAGGACTGGGTGGAGAATGATGGGAATCCGGTTGGCATGATGGCGGTGGGCGTGCAGAACATACTGGCTGCCGCGGCCGACGAGGGAGTTGACGGGACAGTGTTGGAGGAATTTGGGGGCTTGATGGAGAAGGTGGAGAGAGACCATGGATACGATGCGGGTATTGCGGCTGTGGGCACTTACCTGATGAAGTGAATGAGACGGGGAAGGGACCGTGGCGCTCGAGACCCCGGCAGTGCTTCACCATATGCGTGGACCTTGTGGGCTCTACCAACTCACTAGCATATGCATGGATTGTATGAACCGTACATATGAACTGTTCCCGTCCATTAATTCCAGGTAACAACGGGCAGTCGCGGGTGACGAGATGGAACGACCCAGCCTCGAGTAATTCCAAGAGAAGGAACTCATAGTCCGTGCAACCGTCGAGATGGCTCTTCGAAGGACTTCACCCACTCGGCAGGCTCCAAAGCCGCCGGACTCCTCATGCCAATCGTCTGACTGGCGTCTTTCAGCTCCTTGATCATGCGTCCTCGGTCACGCATCTGGGCTGCGGCCAATTCACGCAGGAATTCCATGGGAAATTTCCATTCCTCGCTCTCAAATATCTCAGGCGCCTGAAGGTCCACAACCCAATTGACCCATAAGCGTCGTAGAGGTGAACCGAAGTGCGTATTGTCGTAGACGAATTGTACGTACGAAACTGGAACTTTTCGGGACTCGTGACGCTTTGAGCGTAGGACATCAAGGAGTGGTTCTTCAAGAGATGATATCGCAAGATAGTCAACGAGTGCGAAGATTGCGCAGAGCAGACTCCACTCTAAATCCTCGAACCTAGACATATCCCTATCAGACAGCCATCTCGCGATAATATCAAAAGCCTTGTCGTTATGGTCCGGCAGTCGCACTTCTTGTTCCGTTGCCTCTCTAAACCCCCTTTTGAATGCGGATTCGAAGAATGATGAGCATGCGCAAAGTGTTTCCTTTTTGAAGCAAAACCTGGTATTTTTCTCCCCGACTAGGATAGTGACTTCGTCGTTGTCGGATGTATCCATTTCGTCGTTGGGCACTCCCACCAGTGGCCTGGGCGGAGACCCAGCGCAGTGTCTCGTCGACACGTGTGGTGCCGCTCCAGAAATCGGTATTTCCGACATTCTCGCGTGTTGGAGGCGAACTCGAAGGTAGAATAGGGATATCTCAAGATGAAGACGAGAGGCACCTGGGATCCAATTGTGGGTCAGCGACGGCAGATTGTGGGAGTTCAAGACCATGACTACGCCGGAGACACCTGCCGCAGCCGTCTGTACATCACCGCTCTCGGCCTCTACGAGGTCTACATCAACGGGCAGCGGGTCGGAGACGAGTACATGGCCCCTGGCTGGACGAGCTACAAGCACCGCCTGGCATACCAGGTGCACGACGTGGCGGCACTCCTGGACAAGTCTGGTCCGAACGTACTCGCCATCGAGGCTGCCGAGGGATGGTATGCAGGCCGGTTGGGCTTCAATGGCGGCAAGCGGTTTCGTTGGGGAGACAAGATCGGCGTGGCCGCACAGCTCGAGGTCACTGGTTCGTCTTCATCACAAAGATGGACTTTGAGTACGGATGAGACGTGGAAGTGCGGACTCAGCCCGATCCAGACCAGCGAGATCTATGACGGCGAGGTCTACGATGCGAGATTGGAAGATGAGAGCTGGGGCAAGGTGACCAAGCAGGACAGCAAAAGGACAACGATAGCCGGCGCCGTTGTGATTCTGCCACGTCCAACAGCCACACTGTTCTCGCCCGACATGGCCCCTGTGCGGGTCACGAACGTGAAGCCTTGTGTAAGCGTCTTTGAGAGCAGCAGCGGCAAGACCATCCTCGACTTTGGCCAGAACCTGGTGGGCGTGGTTCGGATCAAGTCCGCCGACGGAGCGCAAGTTGAGCTGTGGCACGCGGAAGTCATGGAACATGGCGAGCTGGGCACCCGACCGCTGAAGCTGGCCAAGGCACGATGTCTCATCACCGGCTCGGGAAAGAACATCGACTCGTGGCGAGCACGATTTACATTCTTCGGCTTCCGGTATGTGCAAGTGGACGGCTGGTCCTCTGGGACACCATCGCCAGACGACTTCGAGGCGCTCGTGCTGCACACCGAGATGAAACGGCGAGGATTCTTTGAGTGCTCCAACCAAAGTGTCAACCAGCTACACCGCTACGTGGTCTGGTCGATGCGCGGCAACTTCCAGTCCATACCTACGGACTGTCCTCAGCCCGACGAACGACTGGGCTGGACGGGAGACGCGCAGGTCTTTGCTCCCACGTCCGCCTTCCTGTACGACACGATGGGCATCTTAGGCAACTGGCTCGAGGACTTGGCTGCAGAGTAGCTCGCCGACGAGCAGAAGGGTATCCCACCCGTAACCGTCCCCTTCGGCCTGGGCGACAACTTCCCCAACATGCCCCAGGCCATTTGGGCTGACGTGGCAGTGCTGATGCCTCGCGATCTGCATCGTGCCAGCGGCGACGAGGTCATCCTCGAGCGGCAGTTCCGCAGCATGCAGACGTGGATCGAGCAGGGCGTCGACAGGGGCCCGAACGGACTCTGGAGCCCGGACTCGTGGCAGTTTGCCGACTGGCTCGACCCGAATGCGCCCGCCGAGGACCCGGCCAACGGCAGGACAGACCCCCTTCTCGTGTGCAATGCCTATCTCGTGCACACGACAAGAGTCTTCTCCCAGATCTGCCGACAACTCGCCAAGACAGAGCTGGCTGACAAGCACGAGGCCGATGCGGACCGCCTCCTGGGGCTGTTCCAGCGCCACTATATGACAGCGGATGGCCACCTCATGTCATCTACGCAGACAGCAATCGCCCTGTGCATCACCTTTGAGCTGTATCCCCGTATCAAATTCAACCGCGCGACCGCCGTCCACGCTCTCGAGCGGCTGGTACGGACTGCTAATTACCACATCTCGACAGGCTTCGCCGGCACACCCGTCATCACAAAGGCCCCTACCGCCGCCGGCAAGCCACAGCTCGCGTACCGCATGCTGCTCGAGAAGGGCTGCCCGAGCTGGCTGTACGCGGTGACTATGGGTGCGACGACCATCTGGGAGTGCTGGAACAGCATGATGCCCGACGGCTCTATCAACCCGGGCCACATGATGAGCTTCAACCACTACGCTCTTGGTGCCGTCGCCGACTGGCTGCACTCGACCGTCGGCGGCATCAGCCCTGCCGCACCGGGCTGGCGGACCATACGCGTCCGGCCGGTGCCAGGAGGCAACATCACGAGCGCCAACGTGCGGTTTAACGGGCCCTACAATCCTGTCGCGTGCGAATGGAAGTTGAAGAACGGGACAGAGTTCTCGATGAAGCTCACGGTCCCGCCGAATTGTGCTGCAGAGGTCACGCTGCCGTGCGACTTCCGCGCCTCCTTCTTCGAAGGTATCGAGGACGGAGATGGTGAGGCGGAGAAGGTGCAGACTGTGAGATCTGGCATCCACACCTTCAATTGCAGATGTATTGCAGGAGAGTGGCCGCCAAAGCGCTTCGGGCCTCCTTTCCTGCCGCACCCACCTATTCATATCGCGGAATGAGCCGCAGGGAAGCGAGCTGACCGCTTCTCCTCCATAGAGGCGAAACTATGTTTGCTAGAAGACTTCGGGCCTACTTCATCTGCATGTATGACTAAACTCAGCTGTCCGTGAAGAGTCTGTCCATTTTGTTTTTCACCCCTTCCTGATGCGGAATCTCTGAGCGTGTCTCGTGTATTTCATCACGGTGCGTCTCCCACTTTGAGAACACCCTACCTAAATCACAAAGTGAAACTACATTCCCAAAGCATTAGCGGCTACGACTCATGAGGTCAGCCCTGGTCCTTTGTCGCAAAACGATAGCTTGTATAGAACAGTACAGTATAGTGAAATGGTACAGTACCGTAACGAACTGAGTAACTGGTTAAGGATATTTTTCTACATAAATCCCAGCATTTCGGAAATGACCCTCAGCACTGCCTTGTCTTCCACCTACTATCTTGACACAAGATCTCATAAAGCCCTCGAAATCTCTCTGAATGAAACTTTGGTGATGCTTACGTTATGATTTCATATGTGTCTTCACTTCACCAAAGAACTCCTCAATGGGGTTAGTTCTCGGACTATATGGTGCAATGAAGTCCCACTTTACAGAAGCGTCCTCACACATCTGCCCAATCCTCTCGGAGTAGTGGAGAGACGGAGAACATCGCTTGCGCAATTTTGATGGGTTGTGGAGCCTGGGTGGGGATCTGTGAGTCATGGTCACAGGCGCCTAAAATAGCGACTGCTAAGGTTTTCTTTGGCAGGGTACTTAATCCTGATCACTCGGCACTGTTCACAGCCCCACTTTCTCTTATTCTCCGACTGGTTACTAGAGACGCTGAACCTGAACCTAGCTGTAGCATTGAGCCACTGTGTGCTAGATTACGCGTCGAACCTGGTCTGTACCTCATTACGAGCCAGAGCACAGGTGTGTTTCGAAATCACGGAAATATGGCCATCCTCTGAATGACCTTTTCTACCTCTTGACAGATTTCTTTTCCGTGGCTGGCAGGTTCATTCGTGGCGGAACACCGTAGGAATAACTTCACCCGGCGCTCTAGCCCCGAACGTGCAATCTGAGGGTAAGAAGCACGCCAATGTTGAGTACCTAATGCAGTGTCCTCGTCCCACGAGCAACTGCCGACGGCAGCTCCACTTCCCTACTAGGAAAGCTGAGCCACCTGTTTCCCCAGTGGGAAAACGCGCTAGTCTCCTCCCCGCACCGCTGGAACCATTAGCCCCGAGCGCAGGCGCTTCAGGGGCCTCACGCCAACACGACTGACGATCGTGTGTCGAAGTGTGGAGGTTCTTACTGGGGCTTGAAACTTCCCCATGGGGCGCGTTTTCCAGGCCATGCTACTCCCCGCATGGCTGGTGCCTCAATCCGGGGTCTTACACGGCTAAGGACCCGGCATGGCATAGGGGTCGATCACTATTTAGATCCTCAGACCACCCACCTTGTTCCCTCAGTCTGCGCCCCTGATCCGGTACGCTCGTCTCTGCGTGTTTTGGTAGATTCGTCCTTGTTGGCCGCTGTGTTATTCTCTTCATCACGACGATGGCTGCTCACCCAGAGCCAGACAACAAACAGGACGGCCCTGTGGCCCAGCAGCACGAGGATGTGCCAAACAATATCCTCGCGCAGAGCGCCGACCAGGAGGAGCACGTCCTCGGCGCATGGGCGTCGCTCATGGCCTACCCGTGGGCATCGGCATGGTGTGTCTACGCCTGCTGGTGTGTCACCCTCCTCGGCTTCGACGCCCAGGCTGCTGGCGCCATCGTGGGCATCCCTCAATTCCGCAAGGACTTTGGGTATGAGTTTGAGGGTGAATATGTCCTTCCAGCGTATTGGCAGTCCCTGTTCAACGCTGCACCCGTTGCTGCGTAAGTTTCTCTCTGTGCTTGTAGAAGCGAATCGCCGCTTTCAATACCTTGAGCTGACCAAACGCTGGCAATGTGCAGCGCCACCTTCGCTTCCCTTGCGTCAGCCGAGCTCTCTGACCGGATTGGACGCAAATGGGTTCTTGCCATTGCCCTCGCGTTCTCCTACATCGCCGTTGCCGTCGAAATGGTTGCCACCACGAACGAGGTGTTCTTCGCAGGCAAATTCATCAACGGTTTCATGATTGGCATCATTGGCACGATCATGATTGGCTACATTGGAGAGGTGAGCAGTTCCTCACGGCTGTGCACGGTTGTCAACAGCATCAACCGCCGTGCAAATCAATGACAACTTCGTTGAGTGTCTAGACTTTGACTGACAACTTTTGGATCATGAACAGATTGCCCCTCTCGCGCTCAGGGGTCTTTACAGTTGGGGTTGGTGTTGCGTACGGCATAGGGCCATTACTGGCTTTCATCGTGATCAACTACACCGGAACCGCCGACAATGCTTGGGCGTACCGAACGGTGTTTGCGACGCAGTTCGGATTCGCCGGCGTCGCTACCCTCCTCTGGCCATTCATGCCTGAGTAAGTAACCGAGAACGCCCTTTGATCTGATGTCTGTAGACATGAAAGAATCATCGGCACACACGATCATGCAATCAAGGCTAACAGGTTAGATCACCCTGGTGGCTCGCCCGCAAGAACCGCCGCGATGCAACGATCAAGGCCCTAGGCAGACTCGGCTACACTGGTGACGAAGGCATCAAGAAGCTGGCTCTGATCGAAAAGACCCTCGACGAGGTTCGTGCGGAAACCGAGGGCACCACATACATGGAGTGCTTCCGAGGCTCCAACCTGCGCCGCACTTTGATCAGCATCATGCCGCTGATCATCCAGATCTTCAGCGGCATCACCTTTGTTGCTGGGTACTTCACGTACTACCTACAACTTGCTGGCTATGACACCCAGACAAGCTATCGACTTCAGATTGCTCAGCCGGTGCTTTCCATCGTGGGAAACCTGATGGCGGCAAGTGCGATCGAGCGGGTCGGGCGCCGCAATATGACCTTCTACGGACTCATCATCCTTACAATCTTCCTCTTCATTACCGGCGGCCTCGGCACTAGAACCGAGAAGCCCATGGTAGAAGGCACTGTTGCTTTCATTCTGATCTATTCCTGGTGGTACAACGTCAGCATTGGGTCGACAGCATTCAGCCTGCTCGCGGAAACATCGACGTCCCGGCTGCGTGTGAAGACCGTGGCGATCGGCTATTCGCTCCAGTCGGCCTTCAATGTCATGTGGCAGTTTGTCATCCCCTATATGTTCAACCCAGACAAGGCGAACTTGGGCGCAAAGATGGCCTTCATCTTCGGTGGCATCTGCTTCTTCTTCATCGGGTATTTGTTCTACTTCCAGCCCGAGACCGCCGGGCGGTCGTACCAGGAGCTCGACGAGATGTTTGCCAAGGGCGTGCCATCGAGGAAGTTCAAGACGTACAAGACTTCGATGCAGATGCAGGCGGAGGAAGAGCCGAAGAAGGGGGAAATTTGAGAGTCGAGGGAAGACAGGGGTCGCTTTGAGAACGTCATACGCAGGGACGTAAGGCTCGAATATCCTGCGTGCGAACTTGAGTGTCACATTAGTCTCAGCGGCCAAATCGAATATCAAAGTCGTGATTGCACCTCAAAACCTTATTTGAACCCCAAGGAGACGACGTAGCAAGTTGACCAATCAGATAATTGAGTGTATCGCAGGACTTAGCTATCGGTGGAAAGATATAGGCATTTTTACCTCAATTGACCGACACCAGAATGTATAGCGTTGCTTACGTCCTGTCTTCTCAACGGAACAAATACAAGGTGAGACGATTGTGTTTGAGCTCTTGAAGGCCCATGGAAAGCGCACCCGGTCCAGCACATTGCAACAGGGTGTTGCTCCTAGTTTGGGCAGCCATGCACACATCCCTGCTGCCCTGATCAGACGACATATTGCAGGTACCTGCCAACGCTTTGCTTTTGTGCAGTCTGCCTTGCCAGCTGAGCCGCCGCACAGCCTCTCTCACCAACCCCGCATCTGACCTTCTCTCTTATCTTGTTCGTAACTTCTCTTTCGTATCTCAGCGTGAATCACGAGCCATGTCCGCATCAACAGTCCGCACGCCATCAACATTCCCAGAGGTTCATACAAGTCATCAGCCGGTCTCTGCCGGGGTTGTGTTGGATTCGCACGGCCACCGCCGTCTCCATTGGACGAAATCGGTCCTCGCAGGTCTCGACACGCCACGCCGCGATAATGGAGGCTCTGGCCGCTTTCTCACTCGCGTGCAACGTCCTCCAGCTGGTCGGCCTAGGCTTGAAGATCTCGAAAGTCCTCAAGGCAATCCGCGATGATCACCAGCCAGACTCAGGCGTGCAGAGCTATGCGGTCACACTAAAGCAGCTCGGGCACGAGGTCACGCAATCTGTCGCCACGCAGGGGCCGTCGGCTAATGTCGCCCTTTGCAGCAGGGCAGCTGATGTTGTGGCAGTCGCCGAGGAGCTGGAGAAATTGCTGTTCAGGTTCACGACCGGAAGGAAGAATAGGCTTCGAGACTTGGTGGCATATGCGCGGAAACAAAACGATATCAAAGCCCTGGAGCTGCGGCTTCAGAAGACTCGGGATGCATTGCAAAGCACAATACTGATCGAGGTGTGGTAAGCCAAAATCTAGGCTGGAGAGTATAATGTGTGCACAGGTGTAGTACTGACACTATAGCTGTGCAGGCAGAAAGTGTACGCACAATGGGATACCATCAAGATCGAAGTCCCGTCCTTCAGGAATGAGTTGAAGACGCTGGCGTTGGAGTTGCAACGGGGCAATACCAATGTTCTCGACATCATTGCCAAACAAGACGCCGCCTTACAAGCACTGGGTGGCATCGAGATTGATACTCTATACATCAAGGAGAATCTCATCAGACAGCAGGCAGAGACCCAACAGAGCTCCGAGCTCAAAGGGTTCCTGGCCAGTCTTTATTTCCCCTCCATGAACGCAAGACGCAACATGTCATCGATTGTTGCTGCTCAAGGCACTTTCCAGTGGGCCTTGGACACTTCGAGCCAGTTGCAAACCGAGAATACCACCGAAAACAGGCGAGATCATCGCATGCGGACGGCCCGCAGGCTGCGGCTCTGGATGGAGGACCCAGGCCAACGCTTGTTCTGGGTAAGCGGCAAACCAGGTTCCGGAAAGAGCACCCTTATGCACTATCTCGCTTCAATGCCAGAGAAGCTCCATGCTACTACTAGTGGCCGCAATGACGCAAGCCATACGATGCTCTCTGCGTTTATATGGGCAGCTGGAGACGAACTCCAGAAGTCAGTGAAGGGTCTTCTCTGCACCTTGCTTCATCAACTCTTCAACCAGAGCAGTGGACTGGCTAGGCTCGCGCTAGAAGCCCAAAAAGGGCCTTTCTCAATGAAGGTAAGTGTGTCCGATTGGAGCGAGGCAGAGCTTCGTAGCACTCTTTCTGGCGCACTACAAGTACTGCAAGGCCTGGTGCACATCATCATAGATGGACTGGACGAAGTTCATCCTGGCGATGGAAGTCCCGAGCGGTTGATGGGCTTGGTACAATCACTTGTGGCGCATGGCAACGTCAAGCTGTGTGTATCGAGCCGGCCAGAGCTCTTCTTCGAGCGATCACTCCAGCATTATCCTCATTTCCGACTCCAGGATATCACCTGGGACGACATGGAGCATTATGCCAGGCAGGAATTGGCAGAGGCTCTTGAGTCGATACCCAATTCTGCATCTTGGAGGCACAACACCGAGGCCGTCCTGCACCACATTGTTTACCACGCACAGGGCGTGTTTCTGTGGTTGCAGCTCGTGATACGAAGTCTCAAGACCGGCATCATCAATGGCGACTCGTGGGAGATGCTCTGGGAACGGATTTCTGAGCTGCCGGTGGACCTGGAGTCGATCTACAGGGCAATGGTCCGGCGGCTGGAGCGAGAGAGCAAGAGCTATCGCGACTTTGCAGGGACCGTTTTCGCCCTGTTGTTGATGCACGATCATTTCGTAGCGGACAATTTTTTGCTGGCCATGGACCGAATTGTCTCGATTACGCTTTATTTCGACGAAGACTTGCGGCGCCGCTTGATCGAGGGAGACGCCGGGAGTCACAGAAGCTCCCAACGAGAAGTATTGAGCCGTGTTAAGCGCGTGTGTAACCAGATGCGTGTTCGGTGCGCAGGGCTCGTGGAACCACCCTCCAATTTCGACTCCTTGCCTACGGATTTCGACGTAGAGTCCACGTTCTGGCGCGCTTCCGTCACCTTTATCCATCGCACCGTGCACGACTTTATGCTGGACGCAGGCCGAGGACTGTGGGAAGAAGTGATGCCACAAGACTTGACTGTCTGCCTGAGCGTGCAGCACGCCCAGTCGAAGATGCTTGGTCGAAGGATTGCCCCGACTGGGCTCTGGGGTCCACCAGTATGGGATGGGGAATGGGACATGGATTTGTTGGAATGGTGCGATGCGATTCCCGAAGGGCTGGCTGGAAACCAGCGAGAGGCCGTGTTTGAGCAGCTGGCGCAGATGATGACGGCAGAAGGCCACTGGAGCAGGGACGAGCGCAACCCCTGCGTGCTGGCCGTGGCTTGCACGTACGGGATTGTACCACCACGGCACTGGCTCGAGAGCTGGACACCAACAGGTATGAGCACGGCCGACTTTGTAGACCACCTGCTCACGGCCTCGCTGGCACTGTGCACCGAGCAAACTTCGGGCATCGTGAGCTGGCTGTTGGAGAACGGCGCCAATCCGGCTCGGCGCGACCTCGCCCACTGGCCCGGCACCAACTGGCCCTCGGCCTCGGTGCTGGCAGCAGGTTGGTTCGTAGAAGATCCGCACACGCGCGGCCAGGCACTGCAGGCGATAATGGATCTCGACAGCGGACTCGAGCAACAGTTGACGGTTCTCTACACACGCCTGGGCGGCTGCATCTTTGCACTGAACCGGCACACATCCTTGTGCTCGTTCCCACTCAGGCTCTCACAGGCCGACACTCGGGGTCGTCACGTGCCCGTGCTGCGGATGCAGTTTCCGGCTCTTCTCCGCTTGGCCCTGCACAGCATCAAACCACGGCACATGGTCGCGATGCCTATTGCCAACCACATACTGCAGCGCCACAGCACCACCGAGTCAAGCATCCAGCTCCTAGGCTTTGTCAACATCAGAGCACCAATTTATCGCGGAGACCGGCGCTTCGCATCCATCACCGGCAGCTACAAGCTCGAGCGCGAGCTCATACTCCCTCCGCCCAGGCCGACCCTCACAGCAGCGCTTGGCGTACTGGACAAGTTCGACGCAGAAATCGATGCCATCCTCGAGGCGCCAATGCTTGACAGCTCGCTGCCCCGAATGGACAGCCCGGAGACGATGGACTGGCTCCTGGCCTCTGGTCTCGCCAAGGACAAGCGAGATCGATACTACTCGTATGTACAGGCAGATGAATCTCGTGATTTGGGCGGGCAGGATTCTAGCGACTAGATGAAAACAGAATGCGACGGCGCTATGGGATCGTTCCCAGGGGCCTATGTAGTAATCACCCATGGCTACGAATCCTCATAGTCCAAACACTTTTGGAAATATCAAACTCGACGCATGGCCCGTTCTTGTTTGTGTTTAGCCTCGTGGACTGTCTTGTCGGCACACTGCTCCTCACTGGTCCACCGCGATGATCCCCCAGTGCGGGTCTCTGCTTCAATCTTCTGCTTCATTCCCCGATCCTAACAGTTTGTCGCCGGAGCGGCTGCTCCAATAGCTCAACTGCCCTTCGTTGTGAATAGACTGTACTGCGCGCTCGCCGGCCGTAGATGGACCCTCCGTCCTCCACTAATCAGTGGCCCTGATTTGAGTCATCAGAGCCAAATTCACTTTCTCCTCAACTTTATTCTTTCCTTCTCCTCTTCCATTCGAGACGGCGAATAATAATCTCTTTGTGGTCATGAAGACACAGAACCAGGCCGGGAACACATTATCCGCTATGCCTCCTACCCCGAGCTCAAAGTAGCACCGTGGCTTGATGGCGTGGGCGGAGTCATCATTGTAGTGCCTGCTGTGCCTGTAAATTACTGTTTTGACGAAGTACGTTATCAGCAAACCGATGTAGAACAGGTCTTGCTGCATCGGGGCGCCAGAGGGTTCGCCGGGCAGTAGTGTCTTCTATGGTGTGCCAGCCTTTGATCAAGCACTCGTGCTTTATAGACATGAAGCCGCGCGAGATCATTGCATATGCTTATCGAGGCGATCCTTGGATTTTCTATACCATGGACGACGGGAGCGTTGGACATGGGTTTTCGGCACTTGTAGAGCTATGTGAGCCGCCATGCTTACCGCCAGCAGCGGCATCTGCCGCTGGCTGTATTCAAGCTCCCCCACGCAAATATCGGCTATCGCAAAGCGTAGTCGTCCAGCATGTATGCTGTCCAGACCATGCCAAGGAAAGTGATTGCACAGAACATTGGAACAGCGATCAGGGGACCCCTGTTGCTATGTCATGCCGCATTCAGCGACCACAATACATCCATGAGGGCGATCTGACGAAGGGCTAGCCTGGTAGTCGTCCCGTCCTTCGCTGTGCTCAATTGCCGTACTGCTGAAATAGCCGTGGATGAGTATGGTCAGTTTCTTGACGTTGAGCTGTACGCTATGCACTGAAAGGGAAATTGATCTCGCGGAGGTCTATGCGTCATGACCAAAGTGATCCGTTGCGGCTATCTCCGCAATCGCCGGATGGTCGAACAAGGTCCCCTGCACACCCACGCATTCAGGGCGCGGTCAGCTGTGCATGTGGCTTCCGCCAGGTCTGCATTGTCCAGAGCTGCCTGGAAATTGAGGGAGCGAGTAACCGGATAGCGCGAGGTCTAATTTTACGCATGGGTCAGACTCCAGCTGAATCTACAAACTAATTAGGCTCCCAATCTTGGTACCCATCATCCACGATGACGGCACAGGCACCAGGATCCGGGAATGACTACGCTCCGGGTGGGTGGGCCCCAAGAAAGCTTGTCTCAACATGCCTGGCCCCGGGAATCAGATTAGCCCGAACTCGACAGGCACCCGAATTTCTGGGAAGATTATAGGGCCTACCCACCGCACGCAGGCTCTCGACGGGCGTGGCATTTATGAAGCCACGATGCCTTCGGTTCCATAAGCAGTCTGCTCTGCACATTCAACACTCCATATCGTATCATCTCTAATTACCAAATGAGATCATCTTCAATTAGGCCAGAGTCGCGCTCCATTTGTCCGCTCCCTCAACTACAATAGTTACTCTACTCTCATAAGTTGAAACATCTGAACAGAAACACACCTCCCTACCGTCCAGCATGGCGCCATTCAGAATCCTCATCAGCGGCGCAGGGATCGCCGGCCCCGCCGTCGCCCTGCTCCTCGCCCGCCACCGCGACTGCGCCATCACCATCATCGAGCGGGCCGCCAGCCTCCGCAGCACGGGCCAGCAGATCGACCTGCGCAACCAGGGCGTGCCCATCATGCAGAAGCTGGGCCTCGAGGAGGCCGTGCGTGCCCGCATCGTCAAGGAGGAAGGCACCAGGATCATCAACCGCGCCGGCGCCGAGCTCGCTTTTATCCCCGCCCTGCAGACCGGCTCGGGCAAGCAGAGCCTGTCGTCCGAGTTTGAGATTATGCGCGGCGACTTGGTCGACGTGCTGTACCAGGCGACCAAGGACCTGGACAATGTCAAGTACGTGTTTGGCAGGACGATCGAGAGCCTCATCGAGGGCGGCGACGGTCCCATTGGCGTCGGATTGTCCGACGGCACCACGCACGAGTATGATCTCGTGATTGGCGCGGACGGCGTGGGCTCGCGGACGCGCAAGCTCATGCTCGCTGGCGGGGAGGAACAGGACAAGCAGGTCCGCCAGGCGACCGGGGTTCAGCTCGCGTTCTTTACGATCCCCGTGGAGAAGGACGACTCGCGTGCCTTCACAATCTGCAGGTCGACCAAGGGCCGACACTTGATGACGCGCCGGGACAGAGACGACGTGCTGCGCGTGTTATTCATGGCACACGTCGGGCAGGCCGCCAGCGGAGGAAAGGGAGATAGCGAGGACGACAGGCTCCGCGCGCAGCTGCACGCCGCCAACCGCAGCGGAGACCTCGAGCAGAAGAAGAAGGCCTGGGCGGCTTACTATGCTGACGCTGGCTGGCAGGCCGAGCGGTTTACACACGCCTTGCTGCACAGCAAGGAGGCAGACGACCTGTACGCTCAAGAGCTGCAGAGAGTGGTGCTTCCCCCTGGAGCCTGGTCGGGCCGCAACGGGCGGGTGACTGTTGTCGGGGATGCGGCGTGCTGTGTGGCACTGAACAGAGGACTGGGCACGACGGTGTCCTTTGTCACGGCCTATACCCTTGCCGGTGAGCTTGCGAGGCACTGCATCCCTCTTAAGGGCAGCGGTGCAGGCGCAAAGCAGCAGCCGACGCGGGAGAATCTGGAGCATGCCCTGGCCGAGTACGAGAGGAAGACCCGCGTCCTGACGGACCCGGTACAGAAGGGCATGCCGGGCTGGGTACGATCAATCTTCATGCCGGAAACGGAAACTGGGCTCAGATTCACGGAGATCTTGATCCGGTGGTTAGTTCCCGTGGGCAGGTGGTTATTCAGTTGGATGCCAGAGGACAAGCCAGAGGACATAGCGAAGCAATATGCCTGGCACGACTATCCCGAGTTGGAGGGAAGGATTAATTGTTGGCAATCTTCAAATTGTTTCGTCAAGTCGTGGTTTCTTTCATCAAGACACAATCCCCTTCCGCACTCATTGTTTATAGAACCCCTACTCATTATGCAAGCAAATATGAAATTTGAATGCTCTACGAGTCACACGTAATCTGACACGATTTGATCGATCGTGCGACGACCAGGCATAACCTGCAGCACAGGTTCCATATCTAATAGTCAAGACAACATGTAATAAGTCATGCGTGAATTACTGGCTTGCCTGTCAAAGATTTTCGAGTATCGGTTGTGAATACCATTACATTCACCCTCATTATCACCGATTCTTCACCCTCGCCACGTCCCATCCCAAATCCAATCTCTCTTCGGCCCAGCACCATCGTGGCCAGTCGTATCCCTCAAGGACTGGCACCACTGTGCGTTGAACGCCATGGCGCTCCTCGCCGTCGCCCCGGCCCCGAGTCCAGCTGCGGCTGCCAGCTCCCGTTCGGCCGCCGAGATTTTGCCGCGGGCGCGAGCCAGCCTTCTCTCCTCCCCTGCGCGGCGTCCACGAGTCGCAGGCACTCTGGCCCCGTGGGGACCTGTCCGCCATTGCTCGTGATCAGCACGGGCTTGCCGGACGACATTTGCATTTCGACGTCAAAGTCTGGGGATTCCGGCTCGGTTTGGGGCGTTATCGCCGCTGTTGCTGCTGTTGCTGCTGCTGCACAGGGCATTCTGTCCGAATGCGTGTTGATGGTGTGCTCGCTGGCAGAACACGTCTCCAAGTTCCCATGGGTGGTGAGGAGATGCATCCCATGGTTATGTACTGGCAGCTCGTCATGGACATTTGTGTGCGTCGTCGTCGCCGTCCCCCCTCTGAGCTTGCTAGTAATAAAGCTTCCAAACGGCCGGATCGTGGTTGTCGCCGTGGTGGTCGATCGGTCCCCCGCGCGGGTGGTTGAGCTGGCAATCGTCTTGCCCGTGATGGTCGTCCACATCTTTGAGAGCTCGCTCGGCTCGTCCCTCCTGTCCGGCGGTAGTTGTGAGCGTCGCGTTCTCGGCATGTTCTGGGGCTGTCGGTCGCTGTTGGCTCCGCTCGCTCGCCTGGTGACGCGCTCGACGAGGACATTGAGTGTTGGTAGGCAGGCGCACGACAGGCCGAGGACCATCTCCAGGAGACTGTGGTGATGGTGAGAGGTGAGCGACTGTGAACAAGGAGTGGAAGGGGAGTGTGTGCAGGTACTCACGTCAAAGTAGCAAGGAACGCAAAGTCGTATGTAGAGTCGACGGAATCAAGATACTGGATGACGAGATAGAGCCGATATGTCGTCACGGCGGTCGCAGCGCCACCAGCCCCGAGAAGCACACCAATCTTGATCTTCTTCTTCCATGAAAAGCTGAGCGACCATGTGAGGGGGATTGGGAGAATTAGGATCGTGGTATCGGTGATGATGGCAAGGCACAGGTCGCTGACAAACACCTTTCTCATCTCCAGGCACGTGCCGGCGATGTTGGGATCCCAGTACGAGGCTATCGGCGTGCAGATGAACATCTTGACGAGCTGGATTGGGAGGTACGCCAGGAATAGGGCGATGATGAAAATGTATATGCCCCGCACGACCTTTTCCATCACCGCAAAGACGCGGGCGACGAGAAGGAGAAGCGTCACCTTCGTCACGTACGTGGCGGGGATGTAGACAATGGAGCTGGCATACAGCCACTGTGGGAAACCACGGTCAGCGGTTGCAACGGCTTCATTGCCAACAGAAAAGCATGGGGAACAAACCCGGAGTATCTCCACATAACTGTCCTCTGACACCTCCGACATGTGATGGCCAAGGCCGTAGTGAAACACTGCAACTCAGAGGTCAGATTTGCTGGGCGTGGAAGCCATCTTCAAAACTTACTCATGATGGCAGTCATCGCGTAGATGATGATGGACATCTAATTTGCACACATTGTTAACGGGTCGAAAGAAGAGAAGGGACGGGTCGGCAGATCCGAAGTCATTGGAAGACCTACCCATGCTACGATGCAAGTCCCTGCAGCCGCTGGGGTTAGCAAAGGGAAGGATATAAGCGATATTCCATAATCAGAGACTCACAATCGTCGAGAAGCATCCTAGTACCAGACGTGTATTTGACGAGGAATCGCAGAAAGACGAGTATTGTTACTGCGGTTGTGCACGTAATGACGCCTGCTAGCTGCCCGCGGGCGAATTTGTCGCTAGACTCCGACACGACCGGAAATCCGGCGTCGCGCGCCCCAAGCCAAGTCGCCCGGGGCGCGGAATTGAGGACGTCGTTTTGCAGACCGCTCATGCTTTGCGGCTTTCTTTGGGACCTCTCACGGATGCGGTTGCTATGTCGTGCTTCGCGTTGGAGATGATCCGCGTATGGATTGAGGGGTCGGCGATCATGAGGCAAGCGGTGCGGTAGACCGTGGTGAAAGACAGGACATGGTGGCTTCCGAGTCCTATAATCTTGACATGTTATCGAGGAGAATGAACGTGCGTCGCGTCTGAGGTCAGAACCGTGTTTGGGTTCTATTGTTGATGGTAACGATGTCAAGACGCCTTTCATGGGCCTGCTGATGTTGTAGGTTGCAGATGGAAGAAGCCCCTCAATCCTGGCTTCCTTTGGACTGGGTCGGTGGTGAGTGAGACAAGGGTGTGCCTAGCACGTTGCCCCAGCGGCAAGCCTTTCGGCTTACCGGCAGCGGAAGTGCTGGCTAAGGGAAAGTGTTAATGTGCTCCATGCCCAGGACGAGCTTATGCGGCTCGAGTCACGACCTGCAGCATGCGTGAACATGGGCGTCACGATCGAAGGAAAATGCGATCTGGGAGCAACGAAAAGACCCAGTGGTTGGGCCGACGGATCCCATAGCGTAAACCTTATTAGATGGAATCGAGCGCCCGTGCCGGAGATCCCACCGCCCTAGAAAAGGCACCGGCTTCTACCCCAGACCTGCTTTGGTCTAGTTCACTGGCCTGAATTGCCAAAGCCCAAAGTTTCTCTCCAAAGCCCGGCTCAAAGGGTGGCCTTTTCACAAGAGAAGCCTGGAATGCCCATGCTGCTCCATTTCCCTTCTGGACGACAAGGCCATCCGTGGTGCTAGCTTCGCATTCGTCAAAGCTGGAGAGATACCCACCTCCTTCTTCAGGATCTTCAACGGCCGGCCACCACTTTTGAGTTGAACCAATGCTTACAAGCGTCTTGTACCCGATGGCCAAACGTTCTCCCGCACATAGACCATGACCCTTTCCGGCAGCCGGGCCGTTCTTGTGCCAGGGCATTCGCAGCCAGAATGCACTGTGATTGGCCCGCAGGGTCGACGCAGCCTGGGTTAGGATTCATCGTTTGCCGAGGACAAGGTCTCGCTTCATGTGCGTGTATGTACGTGGGTGCATTGTCACTTTTGCTTGGCGAGGTAAGGGGGGTGCGGGAAGCATCCAGGGATGAGTGCGAGCCAGATTGCCGCTGGCTTTGACCACCAGTCGGTTGCATGCCACGCAGCATACCTGCCACATGCATTCCGGCTTCCTCAGGGTCGCAAGTATTCATCAGACTACGCGCGGAGGAAAAAGTAATGTGCCCCTATCCCGTTCCTGTTGTTCCAACTTCCCGCCTGGGGTCCATCGCTTGAGATTAAAGTGTCTGAGACCTGTCTTGGACCACCCCATGCTTATGCGTGTCTGCGGAATGGTATAATGAGTTCGCAAGTAGAGATTCGTGATTGTTCATGTATTCAAATTGGCATGTCGTGCCGACCAGTGTCTCGATACTCCCGCTCATCCACTGAATTTGCTTGTATCTCGCTCCCAGGTGTCCCGCTGCCCAAGCCACATTGACTGCTATGGGATTGCACATTCAGTCTACCCACTTCCGGTAGGGGATCAAATCAAAGCAGAGCGGGAGCACGGTCTGCGCCACTTCCCACCTTCAACGGGCCGCAAGGAACCGTTGAAGGAACAATCAGAGCCCTCCAGCCATGATGTCCTAACGAGGACGGCACCACACTCAGAGTGTCTCGCATCCATGACTCGCACCCGCGATGGGGCCACCATGGACGGGACTGGCGATAATTCTCGCCAATATTTCGAGGAACTGGAAATCTTCTATTGGACCACAGACAATTTCGGACTGCGCAGCTGCGACAAATCGTAGCGGTGTAGATGCCACAAATGCAACCACCTTTCAAGCAGCGCGGGTGTGCTTGTCGCAGGGCATGACAGCCTGGAGTCCCTGAGAGTTGAGCTGGACATGCAATGTCCGAGTCAAGCCAGGTGTTACTGATGCCACAAAACGTACGTGCACGTCCCTTCAACAGCAGAGATTACCCCCAAACGCTGTCGTAGTTCATTGCCAAATCAGCTCATGACGTAGTCGCTTTGTGTTCTGGACCACCTGTTGACTCGGGGCAGCTTCCAGGCAATCGCAGGGGAGTTGGCCTCTCTTGCACCAACACAACCCTTAGAACAATCCCGATTATCGATCAGGCGATTACCCACCTACTCGATTTGTACTCTTGAATAGAGGGCCCGCTAGTCGCTCCACGCCGTCGAGCTTTGAGTGGTCGAGGGCTAACTGCGCCAACGGCCACAGCTAGTCCTGGACCCGTGATGGCCCACAGCCAGTGGGTGCCACTTACTGCAGATAGTGTGGTGCTCTCGTCACTCAGCGCCAATGACTAGGGTAGCAGAAACTCGGTAGTCGCCGATCGGAAGTTGCCGAGTACGCGTCATGCTATCAACATGCCATGTCAACGCTCGAGAACATGCTCGATTGAATCATTCTTGTTATCCTAAGACTTCTCACCAGGTTAACGCGATGTTGACCAATGGGTGGTCTGATTACATATTCTGAACAAATCACCACAACAGCAGACAACGCTAGAACGAGAAGCATCGCGGAGCCAACCTGAAGACCGGCCCTGGAGGTACGTAATCAGCTTTTTGTGTGATACTCCAGCCTTCACG